GAGCAACTCGAAGAGCCTGGAAGTTGTACTCACTAGGACAGGCTTTGTATGCTGCTAGAGCTCTCCTCTTATCCTTGATGGCTGGCATCAACTCCTCCAAATGAGCTTTGAACCAGTCTGCTGTCTTTCTGGTCTTCTTGCCAAATATGGAAAAGGTGGTGTTATACACAGCGTTCTTCAAATGTTCCCATCATTCAGGTGCATTTGCATCAGTCGGGCCTGGGTTTCCTCAAATCCTTGGGCAAATTCTTCCACTTTGATCACCAGTTTTGCTGATGTCAATATGTGGTTTTCCTTCGTTTCCTCAAATCCTTGGGCAAATTCTTCCACTTTGATCACCAGTTTTGCTGATGTCAATATGTGGTTTTCCTTCCTTTTTCGTGCAAGTCCTTGGGCAAATTCTTCCACTTTGATAAGCAGTTTTGCTGACGTCAATATGTGGTTTTCCTTCCTTTTTCGTGTGATACAATCTCTTTGTGCGCAGTTTTACTCTACAACACACCAGGGAGCGATCGGTATCACAATCAGCACTCTGGTAACTGCGTGTGATCATAATACTTGGAAGGCTAGAATGCCTAGTGAGGATCAAATTGAGCTGATGCCAATGCTTGGATCCTGGATGTCTCCAGGAAACTCTGTGTTGAAGCTTCATGTTAAAGAATGTGTTGCTGACACAAAAACCATAATAACAGCAAGCCTCCAGCAAGTGTTCGCCATTTTCATTCATTTTCCCAATGCCAAAACGGCCTAGACAAGTGGGCCAAGAATTGTGATCAGCACCAACTCCAGCGTTAAACTCTCCGAGAATGAACAGTGGCTCTCTCTCAGGGACTTTTTTTATAGTAGCTGCCAGATCATCGTAGAATTTGTCTTTCACTTCTGTTGTAGACAACAGTGTTGGTGCATATGCACTAATGAGGGTGACTCATCCTGCTGATGAGTGGGGCTGCAGAGACAGAATTATTTCACTCCTCACAGTAGGTGGGACAATGGATCTCAGCAGGGTATTTCTGACTGCAAAGCCAACACCATATGGTCTGATTCAGTAGTTTTCAGTGAAAACTCTATTGGAGGAAATAATTCAATCATCAGAGAATAGTAATGAGGAATAATGGTACCAAGAGATGAAGGGTATCTTGACTACAGTATTATACATTTCAAGATGTTGATTGTACAGTATTTAGTCCTTCCCTCAGATGCCAAAAACAATGCCTTTGGTGTAGGGCATGTTTACTTTTGAAATCTAGGAAGGGAAGATGGGATCCACTCTGCCAGGTACCCCGTTACAATCAGTTGGTGTAGGGCTTGTTTACTTTTGAAATCTAGGAAGGGAAGATGGGATCCACTCTGCCAGGTACCCCGTTACTGATTCCTCGTCTCATTCGTCTTTTTGGGGGGTCTGATTTTGTATCTATGTTTTTTGTCAAAAGCAGCATTAAAGTCCCGTATCACACAACAATTATCATAATCTTTGTTAATTCTAATTGTAATTATTTAAAAAAGTCTTAGTTTTCATTTGGTACATAAATGTTTATAATTAACATTTTTGTTGGTTCTCTTTGGATTTCCACCATCAGTATCCTTCCTTGTCTGAAGCAAAAATTAGTTTTGGTTCAAATTCTTTCTTTATATACATAGCCACACCTCTCTTCACTTATGTCTGAAACTGCAAACAATTTTCCTAACCTTGGACACTCCAACAATTTCTGATCCTCTTTTTTCATATGGGTTTCTTGTATGCAAATCACATCAGATTTCTGTTTCTGCAGTTGTAGAAAAGTCTTTTTCTGCTTTTGAGGTGCATTTAGGCCATTTATATTAACCGAAAAGATCTTAATTTGTTTTTAGTCATCTTGTTGGTTACTACCTTTCTGTTTTTTCTTCATCAGTCTTGGCTCTACTACTTCCTGTTTTTCTGGCTCTGTATCTGATTCTGATTGTGATCACCAGTCTGATTTCTCTTGAGGTCTTTCTTCTGGACTCCACCCCCCTCCACCCAGGAAAGTGCCCTTTAGCAGCTGGCTTGGGGAAAACCAATCTTATGCTTGGGGAGTTGTTTTACAGGGGTTTTAAATAAAAAAAATGAATTGACAAATCAATTCATTGATTTGTCAGAAAAAAATCATACATTTGTAATTTGTGATTTGTCAACCTTGATGAATCATGAATTTTAAAAAATTACAATTTTTCTGATTTGTGCAGCTCTCTAGTTCTAATTTGTAGTACAGGTAAAAGGCATTAACATGCTCTCCACAGAGGGCACCTATTGGGGTTCATGCATCTGAAAATTGAGCCAAGGCAAGAAAGTTTTGCAGGGCTGATTTGGGTAATTCAATCTACTATATAATCACTAGATATATATAGGCAAGAGTTTAAGTATACAAACCTTTTCCAGCCTTAAGTCAGAAAATGTTTCTGAAACCATGTAATGTACTATTCTTAACCATAAGATGGGAATAGTTTAATGTGTTAAGATAAATGAGTAAAGCATGAAAATTAGGAAAGAGTTCAGATTGTGAACTGAATGCCTATGAATAATAAAATGGTTGACATAAGAAGCTCACAGGTTGATGGGTAGTGTATTCAATATTGTTGTTGTTTAGTCATTTAGTCATGTCCAACTCTTCATGACCCCATGGACCAGAGCACGCCAGGCCCTCCTGTCTTCCACTGCCTCCCGGAGTTGGGTCAAATTCATGTTGGTAGCTTCAATGACACTGTCCAACCATCTCATCCTCGGTCGTCCCCTTCTCCTCCTGCATTCACACTTTCCCAGTATCAGGGTCTTTTCCAGGGAGTCTTCTCTTCTCATGAGATGGCCAAAGTATTGGAGCCTCAGCTTTAGGATCTGTCCTTCCAGTGAGCACTCAGGTTTTATTTCCTGCAGAGTGGATAGGTTTGTTCTCTTTGTAGTTCAGGGGACTCTCAAGAGCCTCCTCCAGCACCACAATTCAAGAGCATCAATTCTTTGGCAGTCAGCTTTCTTTATGGTCCAGCTCTCACTTCCGTACATCACTACAGGGAAAACCATAGCTTTTGACTATTCAGACTTTTATTGGCAAGGTGATGTCTCTACTTTTTAAGATGCTAGAGTATTCAATATCATAATTCAGTAATTGAGAAAAAGAGGGGTTTGTGGGAACAGAATTTAATCAATCATGCAATAATCAATAGGTCTATTAGAAAACCTTCTTTACCTTTTCTCCTTTCGCCACCACTACCAACACACACTTGAACAACAACAACCATATTGCATGATAAAAACAAGAATCAAAGGCACATACCATCATGTTCAAATCACTGAGGCAGAAAAACATTCTTTGTCTCTTAGAATCTATGTGGTGTGGTAGTTCCAAAACTGTGTATCAGGCATGTTATAGGAGAATTACGGTAGCAACTGTGTCTCCTAGGAGTTCTGAAAAATAAAGCGTTCCACAAACAGAAGCCTGGCCGTGCCACTCTCACTTGTTACCAACACCAACCTGTTGCTACTGGAGTTGGCTGAGTTTTGCACTCAGAGAGAGAGAAATTAGAAATTCAAGCAGATTAGGAAGCTGCCTGAATTTTGCTGACTGCTTTTAGGACCAAAAGCAAGGGTGGTTACAATGAAGACCCGGCCCATTGTGGAGGTAGTGCCAGAGATCCTGGAATATAACTTAGAGTACAGCCCAGACCTACGGTGTGAGAAGCAGACAGATTTGGTGCCTATTTGTCATCACTGCAAATCATGCATCTTGTCCTGGAGGACCTTCTCTACCCGTGAGTGGTTTCTGCGGGCTAGCCATGCTTCCCAAAGGAAATTTTTGGTGGGGATCATTAAACGGTTCAAAAGCCAAGACCTCTTGAATTACACCTGGAACCTTCTACGGCCTACAAACAATAAGGATTTCATCTATTCCCGTTCCTGCGTCAACTCCAGCTTGACAGCCTCTTCCACTTTCAATCGGGCGCTGGATCCCCAAGAATTAGAGAAATCCATGGCAGATCTTTGGAAGTGGTTTTTAAATGCCAGTTTTTGGACCAAAGCAAACTACATATTGCTTTTGCTCCAGATGTGTGACTCGCAGTTGTTGTTGATGGCTGCTAGCCTCATTTGTGGCCTCTTAAGTCAAGATGAGAAGCCTGTCTTTACAAAGGAGGAAACAGGTAATACTGAGACGCAAGTACGAGCGTGGGTGGGATAGAAAACTAGTCCTGTCTCCAACATTCAGCTAGATACCAAATTAATAAATGGAATTAAAAATGAGTCAGCTCCTTTATGATGGCAGTTATTTCCACAGAGTAGCCATAGCCAATCTGCTTACTTAAACTGGTACAGCTGGAATTTTAAGAAAATGCTGTGGATGTTTTCACAAAATTGTTGTGATGGTAGGCATGCCATGGGAAGTAAGGTGAGTGACAAATCACTAATTTTCAAGAGAGGAAGCTGGTTAAATAAACAAACATTATCAAACAAAGAACGTATAAAACAGGGACCTAAGCTCCAAAACACAAAACTACTCTGTTGAATCCAAAGAAGGGAAACTAGTCAGACTCAGAGACATGCCACTTTGCTGAGAAACTGCATATAAGGCAGTGGCAGAGTCTATCCCCTGCAATGTCAAATCAGCTATTTGTTCCATTAAAGTCTGACAGAATATCAGTCTCATACGATGGAAACAGGTGATGTTAGACACATATACATGTGCCATACAGGCAATACAGATGCAGCCATAAGCCAGGTGGAACACATTGTAACAACTCCACTTCCCGAACCCTGATCATGTACACACATGCACAAATCCATCTGAGGCAACAAATGTAACATGGACCAAAACTTCATTTGCAGCATATGATGCACACCCTACTGCAATTTGAAAATGGGGCCCACAATCTACACTTCTAACAACCTCAGTAGGATTTGTGTCCAGCTTTCTTGCCACAAGGGATGTGGTGGCACTGCAGGTTAAACCGCAGAAGCCTCTGTGCTGCAAGGTCAGAAGGCCAGCAGTCGTAAGATCGAATCCATGCGATGGAGTGAGCTCCCATCTGTTCTCCCAGCTCCTCCCAACCTAGCAGTTCGAAAGCTAGTAAAACTGTGAGTAGATAAATAAGATGGAAGGTTTTGGACTGCCCACAAACTCAGGGGGAGAGAGAGAGAGAGAGAGAGAGAGAGAGCTCCTCAACTCTGGTGTTCAGCATGCCCCAGAGTCACCATCATGAGTTTGGACAAGATGCCCCCACCCAAGACTCTTCGGCCTCCACCTTTGGACATCTCCAGCCCAAATCCGGTTCTTTCTGGGCCCTAGCTTTCTCTCTTTCCTGCATCCCCATCTCCAATCCCACTGCCTTTTAGAAAATCATCTTCTAAAGCTCAGTCTGCATATGAGTCGTTTTATGTGATCCGGGGATGTGTTGAATGATTTTGCACTAAAACAGGGTGTGTGTTGCAAGCGGGTTTGTGCCTGTTTGCAGCTAACCTGCCACAAATAATTTTGCTGTTCATTATTGGAAACGTGTAGTTTCTGCCATGCTGCATGTATGATTACTTATCATGTGTTTCGTCCAAGCTCTCTACACAAGAAAATAAACCAGCTGATCTCCCCTTGGCCCGCCCCCACTAAACACCCACAAATTATACTAGCAGCTGATACTTGCACTTTGGGGGGGGCAGAGAGAAGGGTTAAATGCAAAGGCAATGTTTAACATCACATTTAGTCTGGCCCTGAGAAGAGGTGAGAAAGCAAATCAGGCAACTTCAGCAATTAGTTAAGAAACCAAGGGGCCTTGAAAAACGCCTTCTTTTTCAGGTTTCCGGGAAAAGACTGGAAAAACATTTGCACCACAAATGTTTTAGATAGCCTAAGTATACCACTTTACACTACATGAAGGACAATCTCAGCTACCTTGGATCACTGTTACTCATTTGTCTGAAGGTATGATTATTTGGAGCATCCTCTGTATTGGATGTCTAGAAGCTGCTTCAAAGTCATCCAGTCTTTGAATACTCGGAGCAGCCGTACTCTAATCCAGTGGTTCTTAACCTTTGTTACCCAGATGCTTTTGAACTGCAACTCCCAGAAACCCCAGCCAGCACAGTTGGTGGTGAAGGCTTCTGGGAGTTGCAGTCCAAAACTCCTGAGTAACCCAAGGTTAAGAACCAGTGCTCTAATCTAATCTGAGTCATTTTTGTCAGGCACCTGAGTAGTGGCAAGAGATGGGAGAACCACAAAGTGAATCCTTATCCTCCCTTCTAACAGCATCTTTTGCAAAACATTCTTGCGTTTTCACTTATTATTTTCCACCCCTTCCAGAGGAAGATCAAGCACAAAATGTTAAGCAGCAAGAGAAATCAACCTCCCGGGTTATGAGCCACCTTGCCTCTGAGTCCACTGGTCTTTCTTCAGCCTTTGAAAGCTACGTTGTTTCAGAGACAGGCAGCATATTTGGTATTATTTGATTTTACATATATATTGTTTATACCTACAATATGTGCCACCTTAAATATTAAAAAAATCATTAATCTTTCTTATGAGGCAAATCTGTGTTATCTGTGTTTCACCTCAGTTATTCCCAATTATCCCAGTACCAGTATGGTTTTCATATCCATTTTATTCCTGCAAGACGTTGGTGCACATGTGAATCTGAGGAATAGGTCAAGAGCAAGGAGGTGGGGTGGAAAGTGGGGCAGAGGACACCCAAGCTCTTGTTGTTGTTAGGCATCTTCACCACTCAGGCAACACATCCCATTCAAACCCCTCATTCATGTTCCAGATGAGCCTTTGTAAAGCAAGGGAGCAGTTGTGCTAGGTGGGGATTATGGCAGCTGTAGTCCAAAGCAGCTGGGTGGACACCACATTGAGGGAGGCTATGTTAAGAAGACCTTCCTTCAGGTAATAGGAGGACTATGTCTGTTAAGCTTGTAAGACTGAATGAGGGATTTGAACGGCATATGTTCCATCCTTACTAATTCCGTTGTGACCATTCGTTTCATTCAAATAGTTTGGTGCACCTTCAAGTCCCATGTTTGTTATTTTTAAACTGACTATAATTTTTAACCTTTGTTCTGAGAATCTGAACACAGCTGTATGCATGCACCCAACTCCCATTTCATATTCCCAACACCACTGTGCCTTTGGGAAGGGTAAAAGAGGGCAGTTAACTGAATGTGACCATGGGTCTTTGGGCCTAGGTGGGCATTCAGACCTCAGGATTGAAGCCCAAGTGTTCTAACTGTCACACCACACTGACTACAAACAAGACTGTTTTCTTTCCATCCCATGACAATAAAGGCAGAGCAGAGGAACTCAACGCAGTAGGAGTATACCTGGTCATACATAAAACATGAGCATGGTTACTGGTCTACTACTAGCATGACTACTGTCGTGAGAACTTTGGGTCCCCCAATGTGTTTTTCAACAGCTTCAGCTGTTGTGATTAAATTATGTTTCTGATCACCATAAACTACCTATGGAATGTTGTATTACGGATCAGCATATAGGTGTTGTAAATAAGTACACGGCTTGTAGTTGTGACCAAAAGAATTCTCACAAAGCTTGAGCACTGCTTCCTTTCTCCTCGGTGCATGGGCACAGGTATATATATTTAGGGGATACAATAGGATGCTCTGTGGAGGGGGAGATGTGTGCACATTTTGTATGCCCCATCCAATCTCTTTCCACATACACTCAGTAGCTGGTTACATAACCCAACTGAGCTGACCTGACTAAATAGGGACATTAAAAGCACCACAGTCCACCGGTCAGTCTCCCCAAGACCCCCGAACTGAAAGCTTATCAGTCTATTGATATAATTAATGTCAAGTATTTTTGGGTTACTACCTACATGGGTGTATTTACTATCTCTCTTCAAAAATCCTGCTGTGTAGCTAAAAGTTAATGAAAAAGTATGTATTCTGGAGATGTATGCTGCATGGCTGGGGTGCATGACAGAAGAAGGCTGCTAGAGCACATGATCCAAGTATTTTCATGGGCACCCTGTAATAAACTGTCTGTTGGCTTTCCTGTCCAGGTCATCTACGTGCCCAAGGGATTTTGTCCAGAGACTCAGACCAGCTCACTGAAAGCTTATCTGAGCACACGGATGAGGATGGTTGTCTTTCAGTCATAATGAATGTCACAAGCCCAGTCTGTCTCTCTCCCAAGAAGACTTCTAACCTCAGCAAGTACAAGGACTTCATTCGCTGCCTGCCTATCCACTTGTCCAAGCGTATCTTGCGTAAGGAGCTTTGAATGGCCTCACTAGTGTTTACCTTCTGTGGCAACAGATTGACAGCTTTCTGTCTGTGATCCTCTAGGCATGCTGGACCACAAATCCTTGAGCAGATGTGCCTTTGTGAGCCTCCACTGGAACATGCTGGTCAAGCAAATTAAGAAAGATGCCCTGTCAAACCGTGCCCTTCGAAGTGAGATTATGTTTTTGAAGGTACTGTGGGATGCTCTTTTACTCATATTCATTGGACACTAGGTAGAGGAACCCCTACCACATGTTGGCCTCCTAAGAGGACAAGGGGAAGGCTCCTTATCACCTCATAAGGGAGGATCCCCCCCCCACTTTGGTCATTCTCCTCTTGCCTCAAACTCAGAAGGTGGCTTGGCAAGCTGTATTTGATGGGCACAGATACATTTTCCTGGCATATACTCCTCCATTTGAGACTACCTCTTCAGGGGGCTACCATTTCATATTTCTTGATGTGCTTTTTTTATCCCATATTTACATGAAATAATTAATTTATATTTGTAACATCTCATTTGTCATTACTGTTGTATTCCCTCACTCTATCTGTGCTTCATGTCTAATATTTATGTTCCTCAACCATATTTATTCATATATTGGTTCAATTAATATGTGATCTGATATCTGGCTCAACTTCCTGAAAAGAAGGACATCTTTGCATGCTCTCAAAATACTAAAACAATTGCACACTACAGTGACAGCTTCTCATAATATTTGCATCTTTGCATGCTCTCACAATACTAAAACAATTGCACACTACAGTGACAAAGAAAGAGCGAAGCTACCACATTAATTGGGCACAGAAGGATACCTTGACATGGACATGCAAATGGTACTACAAAAGAAGCCTGTGTTTACATTTTAACAACAAATTACATACATGAAAGTGAACACTCCCCATGAATAATTTTTCTCATATCTCTCTCTGTACCATCTCTATTATCGTCTGAGAACCCCTGTGTTGCAATTATTTGTCTCCCAAGAAGAAGGTGCTGAATATTACAATGGAGAGGTCTGCCTAAGAATGCCCATGTGAGAGACAGATGGAATCCAGATTGACTTGTCTTTCATTCCAGCACGCTGTGCAAAAGACTCTTTTATTCTCCCTTGGTAGCAAAGGAAGAATTTATACACGCGGTTGGAGTGCTCATAGTAGACTTATGCCTTCCAACACACTGTTGTTTTTCTCTATGATGTGGAACTGAGATGCAGATGATTGAAGGCTCTTATGGCTAAAACAAAGCTGGGGACATGCAAGATCCATAGGTGGGAGAACTAACATGTTTTTACAATCATTCTGGAATTTGATACTAATACTTTCAGATACAGTATTAGTGTATAGTTCTGGCCCCAATAGGAACAAGTTTGGACTAACTTTTTCAGTGTTAACATCTTTATTTCAAGGAGTGTATCCAGAGTTATAACCTTGTGATGTCTCTTATCTGTTGCAGGGGTCATGTCCAAAAGGTGCAGTTAGCAACTATGCCAAAATTGTTAGGGTTGCCACTCCGAAGATCAATGAAGATGGGGACATAATCCCAGCCAGAAGCAAGCACAAGCAACAATCAAAGGTGCATTGTGGGTGTTCTGCATTTCTGGAATTCCTTGGATTAGAATTCGGTGGGTGGTGGAAAATCTCTGCAAATGCCTTCTCAGTTATCTGCCACTGGTTGCTTTCTATGAGCACCCCATAAAAGAAAAGCCAAAGCATGGAGAGAAGGGGCTGCATCAGCTTGAGGTTGTGCTCCATCCCCTCCCAGATAAAAGAGTAGTAGCCTGTGTCAGCATTTATGTTGTGGAAATCTGAACTTGTTTTCTCCAGGCATATTCTCCAAACTGCTTATGTTAGACTCTTGTTGGGTTTCTTGGGGAGAGGGGCCATGCCCCACTTGAGTCGGTTAAATTAGGGAGCCACCTACTTCCCTATGTGCCACTCTTCTTGTCTTCACCAGGCATCACTGCCTTTCATTCTGCTTTTTCAGGAATTTGAATACATGCATAAAGCTTATCATGGCCAAGAGACAGACACCGTCAAGTTGGAAGAAAGAAATGTTTTTTGTGGTGCCTATAATGTCCGTGTTCTAATAAACAGGTACTGTGTGTCTATGTCGCAATGGACAGATTTTCCATCAGACTGTTACTCCATAACAGACATAGGTTTTTGCACCCCGTTTCCCTTCCTGCCCAGGTTCTAGGATTTTGCCCACCTCCTGGGATAGTGTTGTGGGTTTGAGATTGATCTATGGCCTTCCCACAGTGCCTTGCAGACCAATGCCTCTGCCTGTGAACAGATTAAGGGTCTCTTTGAATCTTCTAACTCTTGATTCGAATTTCAGTAAGCAGAGCTATCAGTGTCAATGCCTGACAGTACGTAGATGGGTGGTACCTGTCACCTTTTGATTATGTGTTTCACTGGAGCTAAGATGGACTGCAGAGGCAGAGCTTGGAGGCTTGGTTCCCCACTGTGCCTCCAGGGAGAAAAGCCAGCCTGTGTGGTCTTGGGCAAGCTGCATAGCCTTAAGGAACCCCCAAAAGAAGGGAATGGTAAACCACTTCTGTGTTTTCTCTACTCAGAAAAGACTGAAAAGAGTTGCCATAAGTTAAAACTGGCTTGATGGCACATCAGCAGCAGAATTAGCAATATTAAGATGGACTTAAAAAACCACATCTGATAGGTTGACAACCCACCACCCTCTCTCTCAACTGCAGTCCATCATTCACCCCTTTGTTCACCTCCTTATGGAATATATGAATAGAGTCTAATGTGAAAACAGTAGAAATAAGCTAGTATGTGGGTTTGGCAATTAACTGGTGCTGGAAATGGATCAGAAAAGAAGGTGAACAGGCAAGTTTGCTTTCTATAGGAAATCCAATGGAACTCTGGATTTTCATAACCACCTGAGGGGGAACAGGAATCTTGCCTTGCCTGTAAACCTTGTCTGATGCTCTCAGTCTATACATACGTATGCATTATATTAAAGAAATGCCACAAATCTCCAACAGCATCCTTCTAAGGAAGCTGAATCCTGGACAAATGCTGGGCACCTTAGATTTTCTGCCACTTAGAAGCGTACATGTAGCAATGCATTTAAAATAGTCATGACATGTATGGATGTGATTCCACTGTGGAAGAATGGCAGGATTAGGAATATAAATGAATCACATATTTAAACAAACCAGGTTTTTGTTTCTGTTTTGTCTAGTTTGGATCCCAACAGAGTGGTCCATTACTGTGGTGGCAAATTGTTAGCCATTGGTTCTGTGGATCGAAAAATATATTTTCTGAATGTGTCTGACATGACGCCTGTCCCTCTTCTCCTTCGTGGACATGCTGGCAGCATCCGAGCCCTATACCTCTGTGAACAGAAGGGTTTCCTTCTGAGTGGCAGCTACGATCTCAGCATCCGGTGAGCTGTGCCCGTCCTATTCAGCGAATTTGGTTAGAGTAGAATTTGAAGAAGGTCCTTTTGCTTCAGTCCCAGTGAAATCAAAGTTGCTTCACTTCTTGATTTTTGATTCAGCTTCTACATACTTCATTTAGTACTATGTCACCTGAATTGGAAATTGTTTGCCATTTGGCAGGTATTGAAACCTGTTAAGCAGAGCTGGGCTTCTCATTAGGCAATATGAGCTGGAAGATGTCATGGATTGAAGCCAAGAGGTCCTGCTGCCAGAAGTATTGATTTCTGCCCTTCCATATTAACCACCATTATAGGTGACCTGAGGCTTTTAAGTAGTGTGTGGGTCTCTTTTTTGGCTGGGGCTGCAACAGCAGTAGTGGCTGCAAGACTGCTCCCTGCTCCTGGCACTGTTAAGATTCATAGCCAAGCAAGCCATTATCCAGCCTCTTCCACTGTCTGCCCAGGTTCCACTGCGTCCCCGGCAAAAAAAAATACAATAAAAAAAATAAAAATTGCTGCTGGGTGATTCAGAAACCATCTCTCTCTCTCTCTCTCTGCCCTCCCTCCCTCATTGCTCATGAAGCTCTTGCAGCATGAAGTTCTCATTTCCCTCCCCCCTCTTTCCAAAGTCTGAAGTCAGTAAGTGGCAAAACCCTGATACCCTCACTCTGGAAAAGAGTGTTGATTTAAAAATAGTCCCTCCCACCCCCAAAGCCTCTGGAGGGCTGACTGGCCTTTTAAAGGCTCCCCCCCTTCAAGTCCTTAGAGGCACAACAGGACAATGTGACACCCTTCCATAAAACACACCAACCACTCTCCATGTGCCCCCCCCACTAGCAGTTTATTGAAATAAATAAAGAGGGACAACACGAAGACTGCTGGCTGCCCACCACATTGTTAGAAAAGAGAAATTAGCACAGTCAGTATTACAATCAAGCCATTGACACATCTCCAGAAAGGAAGACAGACGCCTCAGTGAAAAGGACAACAAAAGAGGATTCTGATTTGCATAAAATTACACAAGTTAGTTTGTACATGCAGATGGCAAATTAGAAACATGTCTATAATTGGAATAGAATTACATTGCATTGGGAAAAAGTGAGGCAGAATGCCAAGTGAGAAAGATTGTGGCCAGTTCAGTCTGCTGTCTGGATTGTTCCTTATGGATGGGCAACTTCATGGTTCCTGCTCTCACTCTCTCCTTATGCTTCCCCCCCCCTCTTCAAATCAAACCTGGTCTGCAAACCCTTCAAACGCAGAACAAATTCCAAAGAAGGATTGTCTTCTGGCAGCCCTTCATATGGAGGAATGCTCTTCCTAACAGAGGACATATGGCCACCCTATCCAGTCAATATATAGGTGTGTTGCATAAAGCACAGTTCTTCTAGATACAGTGGTGCCTTGCAAGACAAATGCCTCGCAGGACAAAAAACTCGCAAGTTTTGGCAATGGGGTTGATGACTCGCAAGATGAATGTTCCTATGGCCATGATTCGCAAGACAAATGTTTTCCGTTTTTTGTTCCTGCCTCATGTTTGCTGATTTTTAAATTTTTTTTTAAATGTTTAAAAAGTTACAGGTTTTTGATTGAAGTTTTTGAAATCATCTCCATAATATGTATGGCTTTAAAGAGCACTTAATAAACCCTTTGTAAACCAAATTTGACTTTGTTCTGACTTTTTTTTGTCCCTAGGAACGCATTAATTAGATTTCAATGCATTCCTATGGGAAAATGCGTTTCGCAAGATGAATTTTTCGCATGATAACATTAACCACGGAACGAATTGAATTCATCTTGCGAGGCACCACTGTACATGCTCTCACACTTGTAATGTAATACATAATGGTTGTGGGAAGCACCACTTAGAACTCTCCATATGGATACACTGTGAATGTCAACAACGAATGCTTGTTCCACTCATTGCATGTTTGCTTCTTTTCACACTCTTGATCTGTGCTTTTAGAATGTGGAATATCCTCACTGGGACATGTGTGAAAATTTTTAATGGCCACTCCGGAAGCATCACTTGCTTGGATTTGTACAAGACCAAATTCGTGTCTGGATCTAAAGACTGCACGGCAAAAAGTGAGCAAACAGAGGCTACTGTTTTTTCTGAGCATGAGAGAAAAGTCATCAACTTTGTCTAAATCTAAAATTTGTGCAAGGAAGGAGTTACTCAGTTGATAGAGTAAGATTGAAATATTAGGAAATGTGATTTGTAATAAAATGTTGCAGTGTATTCAGATGCTCACCCTCATTACTCTGAATGCTCGAGTAAAATTTATAATGCCAACCAGTCAGTCATTCCAACATCCAGCATATTGTAAACTGTGAGGGACTCAGATAGGTCTATTTATCTCCTTTACTCCCTTCCCAGATTTTCCTTCTCCAACTCTCAAACTAAACAGTAAGAGGAATGCATGTTCCTGTTACTAACATATTTACACTTCACAGTATAGATTCTTGAGATATACATAGTTCAGGATGTGAATTATAAATTAAGGTTATGTTTACCTGTCTGTGAGCAGGCAAACATCTGCTGAAAAAGTATTTCAAGGTATCTATTTTCTCCCCTCTGATTGCATTGCTGTCTGTGACTCATATAGAAATCATTGTTTCAAATTTCTGTCCACTGACTGTTGCCAGATGATTCCCTTCAATGTTCTTTTTATAGTTCTTTTTGCAGTTTTGAAATGCTGGTTTGATATGCCTGATAATGCTACAAATTTTGTTGAAATCTGAAATCGTTTATGCTGCTTACATCCCATCAATATCTATATTAAATGCAAAATGTCCACAATTGAAATTGCCTTTCCTGTTGTGATGGTAAAAGGTAAAGGTTCCCCTTGATATTTAGTCCAGTCGTGTCCGACTCTAGGGGGTGGTGTTCATCCTCATTTCCAAGTCACAGAGCCAGCGTTTTTCCGAAGACACTTTCCGTGGTCACGTGGCGAGCACGACTAGACATGGAACGCTGTTACCTTCCCATCATGGTGGTACCTGTTTATCTACCTGCATTTGCATGCTTTCAAACTGCTAGGTTGGCAGGAACTGGGACAAGCGACGGGAGCTCACTCTGCCACGTGGATTCGATCTTACAACTGTTGGTCTTCCAGCCTTGCAGCCCAGAGGCTTCTGTGGTTCAACCCGCTGCGCCACCACTTCCCTTTATTAAATGCAGAATGTCCACAATTAGAAATTGCCTTTCCTTTTGTGATGCCTACTCAAAAGAAAGCCTAATTTAATTCAATCGGACTGTTTTCTACACAGCTTCAAAACAATGGAAGTCTTAACCATACAATTTTTGGGGCATTGTAACATGGTATAATCAAATATTACATACCCCCTTTTCTCTATGAACATAAACCCACAAAACAAATACAGAGTATACTGTATACATGTTATACTCAAAATTGCATGGCTCCTGGAAGTCACCAAATATGTTCAATTCTCTCTGGGATGTCATATTATTAAATTCTTTCTCTCTCCATAATGAACCTTTGTATACCTTGGAGTTCATTAGAACACCCCCGCTTCCCTAGGCCCCATTTTGATTCAATCCTGCTGACATGCAAGTGCTTGAATTCCATGTCAAAAAGAACATGTGGCCCTACAACAAAAGGTTATGCATGCATATCAGCACACACACACATTTCACTGTTTATATGCTTAGATAATGGCAGCGCCAACATTTCCACCATGAGAAAGTGAGGGGGTTACTTAGTCCTGCTTCACCAACCAGTGAGGTGGAAGAGGGACTTGCTGGAGCAGATGTTACTATTAAATATATCAGACTTTGCTGCTGACTTTAAAAAAGTCAGAAAGAGAAATATCTGTCTCCCAGCACATCTTTGGCAATGTCTGTTGTGAGATTCTTTGCTTCTCTTCTGTTACTTCAGTTCAACAGCACTAGAAGACTAAAGTTGATTGACACTCCAAATTATGTGCGTGTTGGCCATTCCCTTCTCTTTTTCATCTGCTTTTTCTTCCATGCACCTGCCTGCATGTACAGTCTTTCTATTGAGCAGGCAGGCTGCCCTTGAAGGATTTTTAAAAGATACGTTTTTACACATCCACTAGCCTCAAATATTCCTCAAGCAATCACCTTAGTTTGCTTCTCTGTGGCCCTGTTTTGCTTCCATCCTGTCAGCTCTCAACAACCTGAATTCATTATTAGAAAGAATGAGGATGAAATTCACACACACACACATTTTAAACTTTGTTCCATGAAAGGCTGCTAAGGCTGGAAAATCTTGTGTAGGCTCGATAATATATCAATCATCATTCCTTTAAAAAAAAACCGGGGGGACAATTTCTCGTGATACAATTTGCTCCTTCCTTGGATTTAAGGAGATCTTTGCCAATGTTTATATATTACACCTTCAATCTCACACACTTCAGGCAGATAAGGATACAGCAGCAATGCAGAGCAAAAAAAGAAATAAATTAAAGTCCATTTAAAACAATTAAACTGTATTAAGAATTTACTGAATACCTTTATAGTATTCATTCTGATGTGAAGGCTTGTTTACATTCACATTTATCTCACAATAAGATCCATTCTAAATGGAATTGATTTAGAAAGCATGTGGTAGTCAAATGGTATTTGATTTGGTGTGTGTGTCCTCTTTGGAAAACTTTAAATTCATTAAAAACCTGTGTTATATCTCAGCTCAGGGGCTACACTGGCTTTTAGAATTCTTGTACAGTACTTGTTCTACACCCGCCTACCCTGCCTTCACACTGTCCACTTGCTCCTGCTGCTGTGGAGGAGTGAGGGAAAGGGAGAGGAAGGGTCTGCTGACAAAGCTGCTTGTCCCTTTAGAAAACTTGGCTCCTTCTGTCCCTTTAAGAATACTCCTACTGTTACCAGGGAGGCAGAAAGAAGCAGCATTAAGAAAAAGAAGCATAGAGAGATAGAGCTGCTAGGGACCAGAAGGAGCTCTTCGCTCCTCCAACCCTGCACCTCAAGCTTTCTCAAGTTTGGACATTCTCCCTCCTTCCCTCCATCCCCCCCTGCCCCCACATATTAGGTGAAACTATAACCTGTAGTCAGAGGGTTTAGATTAGGAGAGATATGACATACTTAAAGACTGAATTGGGGGTGTGACTACACAGCAAGGGAAATGTGAATTCAATTGCATACACTCGCTGTGAAATTGCACCAGGGATTTCAAGTCTATTCAATTTAAGTGGCCACCGTTAACTTGAACTGCTTGCAGTTCTTCTCACAGCCCCTCTCTTTCCTTCCCCGGCTGCAGCTCTTGTTGTAAAACGCAATACAACAGCAGTTCTTATTGTCAGTGGAACCAGGCCCCAAGTCCCTTAGACTGCAATCATATGCATGCCTATCTGGAAGTAAGCCTTACTGAACACAAAGAGACTTGCTTTTATGGGAGGATATTTCATATTACAGTATACAGAAAATTAACTGTGTCTTTTTTGTGTTCCTCACAGTGTGGGATATTGAAACTGGGAAATGCATTAAGACGTTTGCGCATAAAGGTACTGTTTGGGCTGCTAAAATGAATGAGACTCATGTTGTGAGTTCCTGTGACCGGGGCGTAGTGAAAGTGTGGCACATTGAAACTTTCATATTGATAAAGGTATTACTCTTATAAAACAGTGTCTGACTTTGAAAACAAATTTGCTTAAGTATCTTGCATCAACCAATAGATTTTATGCCAAGTTCAAATATTTTAGAATCAATGGAGAGTCACTTTGGTAACATGAGGAGGATTACATCTGCCTAGGGCATTCCAGAAGCTGACTGTGTGTGTGTTTAGTCATTTAGCCCTGCTGATTTTTCCTGCCTTCTCTCTGCCCATTTTAAACTTTGTTCCATGAAAGGCTGCCTGGGGAGGAAAAATGGGGAATGAATGAATAAGGTAAGGCAAGGAAGTTTGTACACCCAGCCCAGGCAAATGGGGAGGCAAAGCAAAGTGTGCTGCTTATATATGAGGTTGCTTGCCAAGAGGGACGTAGAGTAGGAGCGGGGAGTGGCTGTGAGAGAAGGACTGGCCACCCCATCCCCTCTCTTTCCTTCCCCGGCTGCAGCTCTTGTTGTAAAACGTAATACAACAGCAGTTCTTATTGTCAGTGGAACCAGGCCCCAAGTCCCTTAGACTGCAATCATGTGCATGCCTATCTGGAAGTAAGCCTTACTGAACACAAAGAGACTTGCTTTTATGGGAGGATATTTCATATTATACAGAAAATTAACTGTGTTTTTTTTGTGTTCCTCACAGTGTGGGATATTGAAACTGGGAAATGCATTAAGACGTTTGCGCATAAAGGTATTGTTTGGGCTGCTAAAATGAATGAGACTCATGTTGTGAGTTCCTGTGACCGGGGCGTAGTGAAAGTGTGGCACATTGAAACTTTCATATTGATAAAGGTATTACTCTTATAAAACAGTGTCTGACTTTGAAAACAAATTTGCTTAAGTATCTTGCATCAACCAATAGATTTGATACCAAGTTCAAATATTTTAGAATCAATGGAGAGTCACTTTGGTAACATGAGGAGGATTACATCTGCCTAGGGCATTCCAGAAGCTGACTACATGAACATTTATTTAGCCCACTTTGATCAACTGCAGGAACTAGCTTGTTCACTTTCATAGACAGTGATCATATAACATTTTCATTGGAGCTGCTCAGCCTGGACCCAGAGATGTCCTATCCATAACTTTCTGAGCTGCTGTCTGAGCCTTCTACTTGTTGAGTACAGATAGTCTCATTCTACTCTCAATTAGTTCCAGTGTGTGTTATCATTGGAACCAAGCCAAAGCAAGCTTTCTGGTCAGAATTTGCCAGTGTTGTGAAGTGACTTAATAAGTGAGCCATTTCAGGACATTGGCAAATTAATCTGAAGGAGCTGGACCAGATAGAGTCACCGGAGCTCTAATACGCCATTTGGATGTGAGGATTGCATCCAAATGGCATATCCCACCTCTACCTGACCCCAAGCGACCCTGTTTAGTCTGCACCAGCCCACTGCAAAAAGAGTCAGTATAGCTATGCCCACAGTTATGCCTGTGGAAAACTCTGCTATTGTAAATCTAATGATGGAGGAATTCCTTCTGGTGGTAAGCCTGAAACAGGCTACTCTAGAGACAGGGTGCGGTAAATTAGAGGTAACCTGCAATTTTCCTCCAGGATGGGGTCCTTCATCTATACCAATTTCCAGACAGTATAAGAATCTTCCCCTCCTATTGCTTTCATTGGGAGGAGTTTAAAAATCAGTCACTAGGGGGGAAAGGGCAAGTCCACCTCTTTCCCAAATGTCCTGGTGGATGCAAGCCACCAAAACAATAAAAGTGCCAGATGAGTTATCCTTTCTTTCCACTCCCTCTCTTAGGAGTTTTCTTCCTGAGCATAAGACCATGTTGCCACCACCTGCCTTTCTAGCACTTCCTGACCAGAGGGACAGCCAATGGGAAGGGACTTTCTAGATCCCAAGCAGTCAGAAGCAGACACGTTACAACCCCTCAATTTCTATTTTTTGTTTACATTTCTTTGCATCTCAGCTACATTTCCCCCCAACTTCATTACGTGCATGCAAAAATTCACTTTCCTTCAGCATTGAAATTTATGCAATTTTAAATTCATTTCCCTTAATGTGCACATCTACTTATGCATTAATAATTTATATAATTTCTCCCCATGGTTTCTAAAGTATATCTGAGTTTATTTCCCCCCCAATTATGCAGATTCAGTACTTCACATTTTAAGTATGTCTGAAAGCCATTAGACATCTCTTGTGTTTTCCCACTTCACATTTTGAAGTGTGTGCATAATTAAAAAAAATACACTCAGAAAAATACACTCACATTTTGAAGTATATGTACGAGTATAATTAGGAAAAAAAATACATTTTGATATATGTTCATTGTTTTGTGTGCACTTCTTTCTCTGAAAAGTACTGTAACCCTTGCAAATAGGCATATTATCAGAGCTGAGGCCCATTTCTTCTGATTAGCAGTCTTGGGAAATACTCTTTTAAAAATGTAGTCAGAAGACAGCCAATTTCTGGTGACTGACTCATTACAAGTGCAATGTAAAAGCTCTGTCAAAAGCAGGGCTTTTTTTAGGGAAGTGTGGTAGGATTTGTTTCATTTGGGATTGCATCAAAAAGTTTTTTTCCTAAAAAAAAAACCAATAACCCCAATATTTACTGGATCACTCCTATGTGCATATGTGAAGACACTCTCCAAGAAGTGTTTATGTTTAGTAAGGTAAAATTTCCATGGGCAAAGGCATACTGACTATTCTTCAGCAGGTCTTCTAGTTCTTTACATGGAATTGTTCACCTTTCACCATTCATTTCACAAATTCTCCTGGGGCATAAGTAAAGTCAACCATTTTATTTCTTAAAGATAATAGTTATTATGTGTTGTCAAGTGCCTTATGGCGACTCTTTCCAAGGTTTCAGTGGTATATAGAAAACTTGGAAGTGGCTCACCATTCCCTTCTTCTGGGAGCACCCTGGAACTGTGCAGCTTGCCCAAGGCTATGTAGGCTACCTCTGCTCAAAGTAGGCACAGTGAGGAATTGAACTCCTAATCCTTGGCCCTGCAGCCAGGTTTCTAACTTGCTGAGCTATTTATTTCTTGGATTCATTTGAAAAATGATGCTCCATCTGTTACCTTTCAATTCAGCCAGGAAGATGGTATTCATGATGGGACACATATTTTTTTCTGGAGTTCAAAAGGATAGACCCATGGAAAGACATTAATCTTTCTAGCCTTAGCATCCGATAAGAAATAGAAAGTCTTAAGCACTTGCTGCCTAGGAGTTCTTAAACTGCACACAGAAAGAAATCTGTTTCTTTTTCTAGACTTTAGAAGGTCATTTAGGTCCTGTGACGTGCCTGTCATTTGATGAGTGGCATCTCGTGACTGGAAGCAATGATGGTTATGTCCTAGGATGGAGCATGCTGGGAAAACACAAGAGATGTCTGATGGCTTTCAGACACCCCCTGTAGGTATTGTTTGGCATGTTTTAAAAATATATATACATAGTAATTGTGTCAAGTGTTTTGTGAAGCAGCTTGATCCTGCAGTATATTTGCCATACTGCTGGTGGGCAATATTCAATCAATCTTTATTGTGTGGTCCACAAAATGGACAATATTTGAAAATGAACATTTGAATCTTGTCCAGTGTCCAAAAAATTTGACATGAGATGGTTCTGTAACACACAAAGACCAATATCCTGTTGTATATTAACACCAGTGAAACAACATCTGTGTGACTTTCAGCAGCAAATTGCTGCAAGTTAAAAAGTAAGTGTAAGCATTTCTTACAAATCTAATGACACAGGGTACAATAAAAAACACCTACACTGACTTTTTCACTTGTGGCATTTTGCTGCTTGAAAGTTGCACTCTCAGCATTATACTGGCAGGTGTTGTTGGAGAGCTTTGGATTTCTAATAAAATTCCTTTTTGCTATACAGTGGAAGTACAGAGATCCACAGCAGAGAGTAGCTTCAAGTTCCCCAGAGTCCAACTCTTTCTCACTAACTGGCACTTAAAGTCTCAGTAATTCACAGAGAGACATTTGTAGGAGAAACAATTTTTTTTAAAAAAAATGCTTACAGTTTTTTTTTTAAAGTTACACACTTGTTATATTGCTTTCTTTACTGCACACACACATGCCTGGCAACCGATCAAACAGATCAACACTAGACAAATAACACTGCCGCCAATGGAAGAAAGAGACAGGAAAAAGCATTCAGCAAAGAGGTTGAGCTCTCTTTTAATTCAAAGCCTATAAGGAAAGACTGTCCAATACAAAAGGCAATTGAAAGATGGGATTTATTATACAAATGGTTTGAGTCAATAGATAGAACTTGATAAATATAGAACTAAACTAAGAAGTAACTGTAAGTAGAAATCTAGAAGGGCAATTAAACTATAGAAATGTGGAAAGATTATTAGACATTGTAACAGAAACAATAAGATTTGACGACAATATATTTTATGTTCTCCTTCTCCCCATTTTTATCCCTTTTATCCATTGTACCCTTTATTCAATTCCTAATTTAATTTTTTTAAGAATTATTGGTTAGTGCTGGGTAGATACACAATCAGCTCTGCTCAGAAATGTCCCTCCCAGTCACATAAGCTACAGATAAGATGCAAGGTTGCAGACAAAACTCCAACAGATATAACTAGCAGGATTCTGGCCATTTGTATCATCAATGTTTTAATTCCCAGCTTCAATAAAGTAGATAATCTAGGCCTACAGTGATACTTAATATGAACCAGGAAAGTATAGACTGACTCCCCCTTCCGATATGCTCAGTGTTAGTGCAATTGAGTAATTTATCCCTTCAGTGGTATTTCTCCCATATCTGTATTTTTTTAAAAAATGTATGTATATGATAGAGAGGGAAGGGAAATTGGCACTGAAAGAAACAGCAGAGAAAATCCTTTGGATGGATGTACATGCTGTAGTGGTCTTACAGATGTGGCATAAAAGTAAACACTCCATCTCCCAATATGTATTAAGCTGTATTTCAAAAGATCAAGTCAAATCATGACAGCTAATCTACATGAAAGTGAACCATTGCTTCTTACTTCTTTGAAGGTGGTAGGAGAGTTAGCACCCCCAAAATGATATAACCTTACATCAAATAAATATTCTTAGAAACTGACTGCATTAAAAATAAAAATGAATCATAGTACTGTGTCTTATATGATTGCTTTTGATATACTCCTTAGTCTTCCATAATCTAATCATGTGCTGTCACTGTTTCACGGTTTTCCAGTTAGAGAATAGTGAGAAGTGGTTCACTATTCCCTTCTTCTGGGAGCACCCTAGGATTGTCCAGCTTGCCAAAAACTACACAAGCTGGCTCTTCTCCCAGGAGGCAAAACTACACACGCTGGCTCTTCTCCCAGGAGGCACAGTGCAGAATTGAACTCCAGACCTCTAGTTAGTTTTTCACACATGGCTTCTCCATTTTGGCTTTATTTTTGTAAAATAAATAATAGCACGGTATAATATGTTATGTGTTGTTGCTCGTCTGAGGTTGTATTTAGTTAATTTTCAGACCTGGCAAGGACCAGATGATTTTTATTATGTCCTGATACATAAAACCATAGAATTCAAAGAGGGGCATAATTTCTTTTTCACATGACTGTACAGTATATGATTTTTGAAGAAACTAAAAAATCAGATACATAATCAGAAGTGATTCTGAGCAGAGCTGAGCCAACATATAACTTTGCAGATGATTCTGGCTACACCCTGAGTGAATCAGAGCATATGGACTCAGCTGTCTGGCAAGCTACAATTCTATTGATCAGGCTGTTAAAAAATATCTTGCTGCTTGCCATGAAAACAACAACAATGCTTAGCTTTGCCCTGTGTTGCTAGTACTGTAAACACTACTCTTGTGGCTCTGGCTGCAGAGGGGAGGAGCACAATGGACATATCCTATGGCCAATCAAAGAACGGGTTCTCTAAATGTGGGATGGGCTTGTGAGCTATGAATAAAGCCTTGGGGTGGGTGTAGATGTAGGCCATGATGGGAGAGAGACCCTTCGTCCTGGGTAAGCTTAGTCGAAATGGCAAACAAGCAGGTTCTCACAAACAGTTGGCCCTCTGCCGTGTTTTCAAAAGTGTGGGCCTGGTCTGGATCGGGCAACAGAGGTTGCTAGGGTGGCAAGAACTGGTAACTAGGTAAAGTGGGGTTTGGAGTCAGGAAGGAGGGCAGAGAAAATGGAGACGTGGCTTTAGCTGGATATTTTTGGCAGGAGGTTGGGGCAGATTGAGCCATTGGGCAAGCGAAGAATACAGACAAGAGCCTTTTGCCATTCTCATGTGTGTACTTTCCAGATTCCTGCTTAAGGCTAAAATACCAAAAACAACTGATGAATGCGCTAACCAGCTCACTTCTGAACAGTTCATTTGTTCATTTTTGAACAGGACAGCTGGAGTTGGGTAGAAAGGAGTGTTTTCCTTTTTCCTTGCTTCTCTCTCTGCATATGTAAAATACTAATATAATAATGATTTTAAAAGATAAAATAAGCCTCCATAATGTTAATTTTTTTTTACTTTGAGAGAATTTGTCCACCACGGCACAGTGAAGCCATATACGGTAATATCTGTCCTGGTCCAGCAGGAGCAAGAATGATCTTTAAAACACTTGTCTTGCTTATAGGGAGGTCCTGTACCTGGGATTCCTCTATCTCAGAGTCATCACTGGCTGTGCAGATGGAAAAATACGAATATTTAACTTCCTGAATGGGACCTGTTTGAGGGTTATGAGAGCCAATAGCAGAGGTGACCCTGTATTATCTGTCTGCATTGAAGAAAACAAGTAGGTGACAGTAATTATTTTCCAGTAATAATACATACTACAGTATGCATTTCTGAGGTGGTATATAGGAAAGCATATAAGCAACTTCTTAGGTAATATAATCCAAAATATTTAGCAAAGTACATGAATATTGCATGCATTCTAATCACTTCTAAATGTATATAAATAGAAGTAATCGTCATTAAATGTATTGGGCTTGTGTCTGAATTAATTTGCTGGGTACCAGTGGTGGGTCACACCATAATAGACTGTGAATTCTTCTGTCTTTTCTCTCTGCAAAGAATTCCAGGTTAAAGTAATATTAATAATTACATGCTGTCAAAACAGTTCTGACTTGTAGTGGCCCTTTCCTGGATTTTCTTGGGACAGAGTACTCAGAGGTGGATTGCTGTTCCTTTCTTCTCTCGGTGCCTTGGACAATTTGCCAAAGGCTAATTGTCTTTTCTCCTGGGAGGCACAGTGGGGGAATCGAACTCCCAACTAATACCTACTCATGGAGCTACCCAGATATGCTAAAGCTGCCACCAAACGTTTCCTAGTGAGACATTTGTTTGTTTTGTTTGTTTGTTTGTCTGTTTATTCATTTGTTGAACTTCTAAAATACCTGATTAGTGCGAAACAGTACTCTGGGTGGTTAAAAATGCAATCAGTATAATATAACAACAATAAAGAAGATACTGTATAATAAAGAAAATCAAATCAAAAAACATAAAAATAAATAAGTCAACATCAGACAATAAATGAACGGGCAAACACAATTTGGCATTCTTCATGAAAGGATGCCTTCAGTAAGGGGCATCGTCCTCAGGAATTTCTTAAAGGTTGAGAGGCAGGGGGTCAGGCGCAGCTTGACTGGGAGCTAATTCCAGAGGGATGGTGCCACAACTGAGAAGGCCTGGTTTCTGGTGGAAGTCTTTCTGTCCACCCTCAGTGTGGCAGTCCGTAGAAGCATGGCCTGTGAGGATCTGGTGGCAAGGATCAATGTTCTTGGGGAAAGGTGCTCTGACAAGTAATGAGGTTTCAAACCATGTAGAGCTTTATAGGTTAAAGCCAAAACCTTGAACCTCCTCTTTTAAGGGAAATTGGATTTTCCTGCATGGGCAAAAAAACTGAAAGAATGTAAGAGTGACATTCCTCATGGTTTTGCCTGTCTGTACCACTAGATGTTGCATTATTTATTTTCTAGATTACTCATCAATGCGAAAGGCAGTGTTGTTTTGTTCCAGTTTGAGGAGGTGGAATGGGACCATGCCCAAAGTACTGAACGACTGCTTAAAAGAAAAGACAAGAGCAAAGTTGATGACGTACCATTCCAAATGAAGCCATCTCCACAATCTGAATGGCAGAAACGAGCCAAGAAAAATAGTTGGAAGCTTTACCGGGAAGAGACTGAAGACACAATGCTTTCATACGTCATTTCTCCGCAGTCTACAAGATTCTCCAAAGGTCCTGCAAATACTATGCTTATAATCCTCACAGAGCATAAGTTACTCTTGCACAGCATAGTTCCATGAACTTCCATGTTGCTGTGGTTCTGATGTATGTTCTGTGTCTTGAATTAAATTAATCATTTTTATAGTTATACTTCCTAAATATGTTTTAAATACATTTTAAGTGAAAACAGTGCATTGCTCTTAAAGATTTTATTTATGTTATTTTTAAAGACGTATTTAAAGATAGAGCAGGGTACAATCAACTTTAAATACTATACAGCCACCTTTCAGAGATGCTGTACTTTCTGCCTTCCTGAATTGAGCAGGGGGTTGGACTACATGGTCTCTGGTATCCTCTGAACTCCAAAATCCTATGTTTCTATTATAATGGCAGTGTGAGTGTATCTTTAGTGGATCATGGCCAAGAGCTTATGGATTGAGTTTACAGAACAGAATCTTACTAGTTCTTGTCCTAACTAAACTAAAATCAGTGTACTGTGGAGGAGGACAATCCCTGCTATTTCCTGCAGCCTCCTCCCACATGGCCTTTTTCCAGTGACCAAGGGAACACCAAGATTAGGAGAACTGCAGAGGTGGGATAGAAGGAGGAAACCCCATTGTACATGTGGACATCTGCTCCCTAAACAGCAGATTTTGCTCCAAAATTCTAAACTGCAAACCGCTACCATGTTTCCCCGAAACTAAGACAGGGTCTTATATTAATTTTTGCTTCAAAAATGCATTAGGGCTTATTTTCAGGGGATGGTTTATTTTTTTAATGTACAATAATCTACATTTATTCGAATACAGTCATGTCATCTTCTGGTTCCTGCACAATGGTGGAGGGCGGGGTTTTACTTAGGTAAAGGTAAAGGTACCCCTTGACAATTTTTTTTGTCCAGTCGTGTTCGACTCTAGGGGGCGGTGCTCATCCCCGTTTCCAAGCCATAGAGCCAGCGTTTGTCCGAAGACAATCTTCCATGGTCACATGGCCAGTGCGACTTAGACACGGAACGTTGTTACCTTCCCACCGAGGTGGTCCCTATTTATCTACTCGCATTTGCATGCTTTCGAACCGCTAGGTTGGCGGGAGCTGGGACAAGTGACGGGCGCTCACTCCGTCGCGTGGATTCGATCTTACGACTGCTTGGTCTTCTGACCCTGCAGCACAGGCTTCTGCGGTTTAGCCTGCAGCGCCACCACATCCCTAGGGGGGTTTACTTAGCTGGGGCTTATTTTTGGAGTAGGGCTTACATAACGAGCATCCTGAAAAATCATATTAGGGCTTATTTTCAGGTTAGGTCTTATTTTCGGGGAAACAGGGTAGACAATATGCACAACCAACACTCCAATACAGAAATGAAGACTGTATTTCTAGATTCCCATATACTGTATATGCATGAGAAATCTCTGCATAGCTTTAAAGGAGAGGTTTCATGTAAGTTCTTTGGAACAAAAAATTTAGCATTTTCTCTATATAATTCCCTGGGAGATAGCCAGTTGCAGCAAAACAACAAGGGGTTTTGTGGCACATTAAACACTAAGAAGTTTTATTTGCTATGCTTTCATAAACTGTAGCCCACCATTTCTTTCCATTTTAGTAATTAATATAGAAGACCAACGTACATTAACTCTTCCTTCCTTCCATTAGTACTTCCCTACCAGTTCTCAGATATTCCTTGTTTAACAAATATAACAACAACAACAACTGTGTGCTGTCAGGTCAATTCTGACTTATGGCAACCCTTTCCAGGGTTTCCTAGGTAAAGAGTACTCAGAAGTGGCTTACCATTCCCCTCTGGGGGCATCCTGGGACTGCACCTTGCCCAAGGCCACACAGGCTAGCTCTACTGGCAGGAGGCACAGTGGAGAATAGAACTCTGAACCTCTGGCTCCACGGCCAGATACCTAACTCACTGAACTTCTCAGCTAGTGTTTTCTTGTTGTTATGTGTTATTAAGTCAGAACTGACATACAGAGACCCTAACAGGGCATTCAAGGTAAGTGAGATATTTAAGCAGTGATTTTACCAGTCCCACTTCCCCAGTGAGTTTCTGTGGCTGAGTGGGGATTTGAATCCTGTTCTCCAGAGTCCTAGTCCACCACTCTAGCCACTACACCACGCTGGGTACTTTTTACCTAGCCTGTGTTTAGCTGCAGTATTTAAAACCAGCACATCACATTTCCTGCTCTTACCCTGTTTAACTGCAGCAGTGTTATCCTCTTTGTGATCTGTGATTATGCACTCACAGAGAGAGCCTGTTTTTACATTTCATTGTTATGCATGCTGCTGTAGAATGAAACCAAATATCACCAGCTTTATGACATATATACAGTATATGTGATGTCTGTAGGAGAAACAAACCTGATTTTATTATAGTTATTGAGAGCCAATGTGGTGTAGTGGATAGAATGTTGGGCTGGAGTTCAAGGGACATACTGTCAGATCCCAAGTCAAGTCATGGAGACCCACTGGAGAGTGGTAATGTAGACAACACATTGAACATCTCATGCATCTTGAAAACCCTGTGATGGTCACCACACTTTGGAAGTGACCTTATGGCACATGACAACAACACTGAAATATTCAGTCTTAGTGAAGACCAATCTAGAGTAAGCATTTGAGGCTTGTAACTTCTCATATAGCTGTTTCTGTAAATCCCACTGACTACAGTAGGAGTTACTTCAGTATAGGAAAGTTGCCTAAACTATTTCTTTCTCCTCTAGGCCTTCGTTTTGAAATGGTGAAGGCACCTCCTCGCAGAGGTAGGGAAAATGTGGCAACCCTGGACATGAAACAAGATGAAAAGCACAGGCTCTCTTCCCTTGCCAAGAGACTAGAAGGTCCAGAATCTGTAACCACTTTAAAATGTTATTCTGTTAAGGAATATTGATATATTGCACCTGAATAACTACATATAAAGGGGTGATCCTTCATCTATATAACTTTAGACTGCCAGAAGCAATTAATATGCTTAAATAGCAAACAGATTTTGTAAACACATTCTAAACATAGTTTGTGAAAAATAAGTGTTCTTAGATTTTAATGGAAAAGCAGGCTGAACAAATGGGAGAGTCAAATACTAAGATGAAAATATAGGCAAGATTGTAGGAACATAGACATAGAGCATTTCCTCTAGAAAGTAATTCCTTTTCTGCTGTAATATTCAAGTAGAACTGTGATGAAAGTTTCACAGTGACTACCAGAGATTTAGTGCTGTGTGTATGTGTACATTTCACTGCTTTATTCCAGATGCATTTGTGAATGAGACACAGCTCTGTCAGTGAGAGAAGGGCCTTAAAAAGCAAGTTTTTTAGATAGGGTCACTTCGGATTGGTGTGGGTTCCTGCACCAAGAATACTTAGTCCTTGTGTGGATGAAAGGATTGCCCCCAATGGCATACGACAGCCCCAAGTGACACTGCTCAATCCAGCCTGAGACAATTGGGTGTCTGGCTGCACTCTAGACTGCTTTCCAAAACAAAGTGACAGGCATCAGGCACAGACCACTATGAGGAGGCTGCAGATTTTGAGGCAGAGAGACAGTGCAGCCTTATTGTCAAAGCAAGATATGACCGCTGAGGAGTAGTATGCAAGCATCCATCTAAGAGTAATTTGGCAGTAACTGAAGATAGAAGAAAGATATAAGCTGATGGGCTGTGTGCGTGTTCATACATGGCCGCACAACACATCTGCTCATCTCTGCATCTTTGAGGTGGCAGCTTTGGTGGTGGCTGATGAGCTTCTTCTGAAGGGGCATGGGAGAGGGCCAGGACTGGGAAGCAGCAGCTCCCCGCTGCTCTTCTGAGATTGGATAGAAGTTCTCCAGAGACAGAATAAGGTTGCACAGCATCTTAAATGTTCAGTTAAAAAAACACACACGTGTCTTGTTCTTGTGTATCACTGTGTTTGGGGTTGTGTTTGGTCATACCGCTGTTCTGTGGACACTTAAAAAAATTGTGCTTATGTGTTCGTATTATTTTTTTAAAGATACATAGGTATGTTTGATCTAATTAGGTACCACAGCCCAGCAGCTTGAAGCATTCATATCCCTGTCCAAAATAACTGGATTGTAGCTACTTTCAAGAGTAAAGTTATTTTAAAAAAATTGTAACCATGGTAGGACCAAGCTACCTTTGGGAGCTTAAAATAAAACCTGCAACTGTTTCCTTTTAAAAGCTTTGGTAGGAATGCTAGTTAGCCAACACTTAGACAACTGGCCAGTATAAACACAAGGGGCTGTTTGTACTTGCCTCAGTAAGTACCAGGACCAGTGGCTGCATGCAGGAGGAGGCTGTTCTCCTCTCAGCTTTCCTAGCAGCAGAGGTCCTGCTTCCTTTGTCCCTGAATGCACCACTTCAAGGCCAGTTTTTTCAAGCCCAGGGACGGGGTGTTTCACTCTTCTCTGTAGGTTTCTCACCACCACCCCAAGTTCTCTCCTGATGGTGCAGCTTAATAACCTCACTGGGATTCTGACCTTCTGTTTTTCTCACACTTTTGTCTTTTAACAGATGATGAACATGAACCTTCAATCTCTCCCCCACCTGGTCAGAAAAGAGAAGCTTTGTTGAAGTACATAAAGCAGAAGCGCCCTCTTGGTCCCATAACTAATGACCAGATACTCCTCACCATCAGCACATTGCATCATGCCTACGTGAATGACCAAGTCAGTATTAACACAGGACACAACATGAAAATCAAAGATGCTTGGGGTCCTGACCAAGTCCAGAAAGAACAGCCCCAGAAGAGTCTGGCTCCCAAAAGTGCAAAGCAACTGAAAATGAATTCATCAACCCAGCTGAAACGGTTGAATGCTGCCGGCGGCACACTAGGGGTGCAGAGGATTTCCATACCTTATGAAACCAAAACACTACAGCTGAACTTAAAGAATACTTTGTTTGCAGGTACTGTGAAATCCTTCATTCCTGCCCCTACCATTACACGTTCCAAATCATGCATCAGCTTGTCAGGAGAGCCAAAGGCTTATGGTGGCCAGGCCAAGATCCCATCTCCAGCTACTGCTGGGGAACAGGCCATTGGTCACTTTACAACCACTTCCGAAACCATCAAAATACCACGTATGAAGATTGGCCAGCCTGATAAAGAACTAAGTGCTCGGCGAGGAAAACTTCTCTTTACCCATACACCAGATCCATACCGGCTAAATACTGGGTTCAGGCTTTTGACAACACAACAAATGAAAGAGTATGAAGAAGCAAAGATATCTGAGTATCAGGCAAACAAGACAAAAGTTATAGCAAATAGAGAAAAAGTGTGTAAGAAAGCCTGGCTAAGAAAAATTAAAGGCCTTCCCTTAGATGATTTCACAAAGGAAGGCAAAGTTGTTGCCCCAGAACTTGGAGAAAATGTGTTCCTCTGAGCTTGGCTTTTCAAAGCAGCCTAAAACCCATTTCAGACCAATACCTTGCCCTCCAAATCAAAGATCCAACATTGGGAGGTATGGGGCTGCTTGAAGCATTATCCTCAGGTCTATACCCCTTCCAGAAGCTTGTAACATTCATTCCAATGATTCAGATCTTGCAAAAGTTGACAGGGTGGGACTTTGGGCTGTATCTGTTGCAGTTTGCAATTTGTTCAGTTTTAAAATGCCCCTAGCCTCTGGAGAAAAGCTTAGTAGCATGACAGTGAAATGATTCTGCTTGTAAGCTTTTCTCCAGAAACTGTATGTACACTGCTTGGGCTTGTGTTTCAGCTAAAATCTTCAGTACTAATGAAATGAAACAATGATGCTTTCGTGTAGGCAGCTTCCAGGTGTCTGACAGCCACCACCAAGTAACCTGGTTGATAGAATAAAGAAATCCTGCAACTACAAAAATATGTCTACTTCGTATTGAAATTGTTTTCATATACTGTACTTTGTTCCTTATGTAGGTGTTCTCGACTGGCAAAGACACAATGGACTTTGGATACAGTTTACTGTTCTTCACAAGGACAGTGAAAGGATGATATTCATTCCTTAAAACCAGGTTTGGTGGCATCAGATTGACAGGGTTAGGGTTTCCTTAATGTCTTCTTGGTGGGAAGCTATCCAGCCTCTCCATCTTGGGCATATGTGATAGAGCAGTGATTCAGATGTGCATCCTTGACACCTGCTTTGTGGAGCAAAACATGCACAAATGATACAGGATGTTCTTGCTCCACTGCTGCTCCTCCTCCTCCCTGACCATTACATAAGACCCATGGTCACTGGTGGAAGGCGTTTCTACTCCTTCTTCCCAGTTCTGCACTGCCACCCCCTCGCTCCACTGCTCCACTGCTGCTCCTCCTCCCTGACCCATGGTCACTGGTGGAAGGCATTTCTACTCTTTCTTCCCAGTTCTGCACTGCCACCCCCTCAATCACTTGCACCAACCTGACTTCCTTCATTTCCAAGGGCCTTGGAATTGGCTCTTGGCAGACAAACCACATTTTGGATGATTAAGCCCCAGCACCCTGGTATGGGGAGCTGCCCTCACCTTTATTTTCATTGCCACATTGGTAGCACACCCTTGTTGCCAATTCTCTGCCCCGTCCTTTGAATAGGTCACATTAAAGTATCTGCTGTTAAACCTGCACCCCTCCTTCCTCACTGAGATGCCTTGTCATAGTTGTCGGTTTCTTTAGCAAGGTCTGCAAATATATTTGCTTTGTGGTCAGTTCTGGCTGGAAGGCATTCCCGGTAATGCTCAGAACTTGATGCTTCCTAAACTGTTGTGTCCCTTAGCCATCTGCTGCATTTCTTCCACCATTCTGTGAGAGTCCATGCTGGTGCATTGCAACATTAGGTGCATCACAGACTCCCTTTTGGCCGATGACTATTGGTGCCTTTTTATGTTGCTAAGCCATGCGGCAAGGTCCAGGGTGGTAGTACAGTTGTGAACTGCTGCATCTGAAATCCAAGAAGCAAATAGGGCAATTATTTGCTTTGTGTAAGGGTATTGTTCCCTCCATTCTGTTTGCCATTCAGTTAAACTGCCCGTCTTATCAACCATGTTCATTTCATTCACATATCCGTGCCTTTTATGCCTATGCCTCACCACAAAGGAAACTGTCCTTAATTCCTGGATAGTTTTCCTAGTAGATGGGAAATAGAAATGGAGATAGCCATTCTGGGGGCCGTATATGTTTAAGTGGGGAACTGTGGCAGCTGTGCATAGGAAGGGCAAAGAGGGTGGCTGGCAGCATCCAATGGGCACCATCTATCCTGTAATTGTGTGGCTGTCCCCCCACCCATCCTCCTCCCTGGAAGTGTCCAGAAACAGAAATCCAAGTGGAGCAAGCATCCGAGCCAGAACCAAAACCACAGCACATGATATTCCATAACCTTTTGGTCACCGACAAGAGCTACCTTGTTAGTAATCCAGCATATGGTATATATATTGGATTAGTGACATCTCGACTATTCATTGTTGCTCTTTAGGGCCACAGGGGAAGCGGATTGCAATGCAACAGCTAGACTAATGTATGTGAGCAACTGTAGCAGGACCTGGGAAAGAAATAGATGTGCCACGGAGGGGTTTGCGAAGAAAGCCGTGGGGTGCATCCTGGTGCCCCTGACCATGACAGGAAATGTACTTGCTGGGTTTTTCCACAGACTACTTCCCCCCCTTCTGCTGGAATTAGTGACTCCCTAGCCTGCAAAGTAAGCCAGTGGGAGAGATCTCCCGTTACAACTTTTGCTGTCCATTCCCCCACCACCACCACAACATTTGCTGGAAGAAGCAACTCATTCCCTGCGTGGTAAGCCAAAGGCAAAAGACTCCCCTGCTGAAACCACTTTTCACAGTGAGGCTACCCCACGCCTCTAGCCATACCAACCCTTTACAGCTGTGTTCACCTGCCCTGTTTGGTCTTCTTCACTCATGCTGTACTTGACACCAGAAAGTGATATGTAATAAATAAACATAGAGAGATAAACATGCCATTGAATACAGTGGTGCCTCACTAGACGATGATAATCCGTTCCACTGAAATCGCTGTTTAGCGAAATCATTGTCTAGCGAAATGCATTTCCCTATTGGAATGCATTGAAACCTGTTTAATGCGTTCCAATGGGGAAGACTCGTTGTTATCTAGCGAAGATTGGCCATAGGAAAGCTGCTTTGCAAACTGCCAATCAGCTGCTCCCTAAACAGCAGATTTTGCTCCATAATTCTAAACTGCAAACCACTACCATGTTTCCCCGAAAATAAGACAGGGTCTTATATTACTTTTTGCTTCAAAAAACGCATTAGGACTTATTTTCAGCGGATGGTTTATTTTTTAATGTACAACAATCTACATTTATTCAAATACAGTCATATCTTCTGGTTGCTGCATAACGATGGAGGGCGGGTTTTACTTAGCTGGGGCTTATTTTTGGAGTAGGGCTTACATTACGAGCACCCTGAAAAATCATATTAGGGCTTATTTTCAGGTTAGGTCTTATTTTTGGGGAAACAGGGTAGACAATATGCACAACCTTCCAATACAGAAATGAAAACTGTATTTTTAGATTCCCATATATATGCATGAGAAATCTCTGCATAGCTTTAAAGGAGCGGTTTCATGTAAGTACTTAGGAACAAAAAATGTAGCATTTTCTTTTGATAATTCCCTGGGAGATAGCCAGTTGCAGCAAAACAACAAAGGGGTTTGTGGCACATTAAAGACTAAGAAGTTTTATTTGGCATATGCTTTCATAGACTGTAGCCCAAGGCCAACATACAACACATTAACTCTTCCTTCCTTCCTTCCTTCCAGTAGTACTTCCCTACCAGTTCTCAGATATTCCTTGTTTAACAAATATAATCATAATACAGTAATACCTGTGTGTTGTCAGGTCAATTCTAACTTATGGCAACCCTTTCCAGGGTTTCCTAGGTAAAGAGTACTCAGAAGTGGCTTACCATTTCCTTCTTCTGGGGGCATCCTGGGACTGGGGGCACCCTGTTTAAATAGCTGTCTTGTGAAGCTTAGGTCCCAAAAACATCTGTTTTGCGAGCGCGGAGGGAGCTGTCAAAATCGTTATCTAGCGAAAATCGATTTGCGAAGCAGGGACCAAACATTGTCCAGCGAAATTCCCCCATAGGAATCACTGTTTTGCGAATCGCTATAGCGATCGCAAAAAGTCAATGTCTAGCAAAAAACCCTGTCATGCGGGGTAATTGTTTAGCGAGGCACCACTGTATATGAAATGATAGTGGAGAAGAGAAAATTCCGCCATACTAAGCTGTATGAGTAGATGGTGGTAACGCGTAAAACAGCTCAGTCCAAGCTTGATGTGTGTGTGGATGTAGCCCCTCTGGAAGCTATACTGACACTTCCTGTTCAGTACCCCACAAAATCCAAGCATTAATGGCATATTTGATCCACAGTTGAACTAATCTTCCATTGTACCTTCTAATGCAAAGGATACAGTAAGGCTTAGCAACATGTTGTCTGGAGGCCACATGTGGTCCCAAGCCATTTCTGGGTTCCCACAGACTCTTGAGGCTACTATCCCCTACAAAATTGGGTGGGGAAGCATGCACTCCCCATAAATGGGCAATGTGTTTTATAGGAGAATCCAGGAGCAGTGTGATTCTACTTTAAGCAACACCCTGCTCGTTTTATTGCATATGCATGCTTCATGGTGGTGCTGCAGGTTAAACCGCAGAAGCCTCTGTGATGCAAGGTCAGAAGACCAGCAGTTGTAAGATCGAATCCACGCGACGGAGTAAGCTCCCGCCACTCGTCCCAGCTTCTGTCAACCTAGCAGTTTGAAAGCATGCAAATGCAAGTAGATAAATAGGGACCACCACGGTTCCATGTCTAGTCGCGTTGGCCACGTGACCATGGAAACTGTCTACAGACAAACACTGGCTCTACAGCCTGGAAATGGGGATGAGCACCCCCCCCCTTGGAGTTGGACACGACTGGACTAAATGTCAAGGGGAACCTTTACCTATGCTTTGGGTAAACCAGAGGTAAAATTTCCCCATTTCCAGTTGCTGCTGGTCTCTTGATCAAGATTCAAAATTGACAGAGAATGGGACCAAAATGAGCAGAATTAATTTTCAGGATAAATGTGAAGGCAGGAAGAATCAGACACACTAATATAGGATGGCTGACAGTTGGCTTGACTTTAGTACAGTGCTTGTGAAAAGAGTCTGTCAAAAGGATAGAGAGTCTCAGTAGACCACAAGATAACTATTAATAATGTGATGCTCAAGCAGGAAGCCTAAACATAATTCTAGACTGAAATCTAGTGGGCAAATCAAGGGAAATTATTGGAATGATGTTGCTGGGCAACTGCTTTATGAATCATCATCATCATCATCATTAGTGTGCCATTGATTCAATTCTGGCTCAATGTGTCCTTTTTCAGAGTTTTCTAGATAGAGAATAGACAAAAATGGTTTACTATTCCATTGTGGGAGCATCCTGGCACTGTGCAGTTTGCCCATAACTGCACCAGCTATCTCTTCTCTCAGGAGGCACAGCAGGGAATCAAACCCCCAACTTACGGCTCTGCAGCCAGTTACCTAGAGTCTTAGACCACTGGGTTATCTAGTCAACTTTACAGAAACTGTAGACTCAGAAAGATAAAGAAAGTTGTTCCAGAGCAAATTAAGCCTGAACTCTTACAAAAAACTAAAACCGACTTAACCAAATCTACTGCGCCTTGGACAGCACTTGAGAAGCCAAGACTGACTGAAAAAGACAGTAATGCTAGGAAAAGCTGAAGGGAGCTGGAAAAGAGGAAGACCAAATATGAGATGGATTGACTCCACAAGGAAGCCGACAGCCTTGAGTTTGCAAGACCTGAGCAGGACTGCTAAAGATCAGGTCTTTTGGTTGTTAAGTGCTGTCAAATCGAAATCAGCCTACAGCGACCCTAATACAGTAGGTTTTCAAAGTAAAAAAGAGTGGTTTTAACACTTCTTCACCCCCAGTGAACTTCCATGGCAGAGCGGAGATTTGGACCCTTGTCTCCAGAATCCTAGTCCGTCACTCTCTATCTGAACTTTTGGACGCTATTAATTCGAAAAAGACTTGGCAACACATAACGCCATACGGATAATTAAAGTTAAGACGCATATTTATTTCAGATGATCCCGTGACATGTCGCCTTTCTTTTCCGCGTTTTCCAGCCCATGCTGCATACTGTACTCGCAATGTCCACCGGACATCCAGCTTTCGTCTCCTCTTTTCATTTTATCTCTACTGGCCGCCGCGCCCGTCGCATAGTGAGAGCGTCACGTCTTTAATTCGCGGACGGGGTTGTGACGTGGCTCAAAGCGGAAGCGATGTTGCGGCAGGTGAGATTCGGGGCGCAAATGTTTCCCTCCCGGAGGAAGGCTTGAAGGGGAAGGGTCGGAGCTTCGGTTTGGGGAAGGCGACGAGCTGGGATGAAGGGACCGAGGGAGGAGACATCGGCGCTGCGATGTGGGGGGCGAGGGGAGAAGGACGGGGAGCTGTTGTCAAAGGGCTACTGCACCTGTTGGATAGCTGCTTTGCTGCAGAAGCCTAGGGGTGTCAAGTTTATCGCCTCCGCGCCCTCCTTTTTCTTTTCCGTACCTATAATGAGAAGGAATTGTTTTTCTTTTTCTCTCCCCGCTCCCCATGAGAGGGATGCTTATGTTTTATTTGGTTCGCCTTTCTTTAAGATCGTCGAATTTAAGTCTGGTGGGAATGAAAGTCCCTTGTTTGTCTGAAAAGGCAAATGAAGGATGGCTGCTGAATGTTCGTGGCAAAATAACCTGGATCACGACAGTGTAGGTACACACAAGTAAGGTGGAGTTGGAGTAGGATCGGGCAATGCTTGCTCATAACAAAGGAGTTAATGCCATTTTAAGTTGAATTTTTAGTACTATGATATGCAGTGGTATAAACGACTATAGGTACCTCTTTAAATCGAGTTTAGGTAAATAGGTAAAATATTAAAATGCTATTAGACACCTGAGGATATGTATATAAAATAAGAAGCTCTTTTAAAAAAAAGAAATCCTGAACAAACCAAATAAATTATCTTTGGAGAAATCCAGTATTTTAGAGGAATATATAATTGAATTTGAAGTGAAAATCTGCCTTATTCCAGAAATATTAACAAATATTTCAAAATACATACATCGGACCAAATATTCAAAATTTATTGTTTGCTTATAATCTCACTTACAATGCTCTCCAGCAAAACTAGGGACATTTAGAGTGCAGTCCTAGGTATGTCTGTCAACATGTGAACTTGCTGACTTTAGTGGGGCTTACTCCCACCCAGGTAAGTGAATATAGGATTGTATTCTTCAGTAAACTTGCTCTTTACCTGCCCATATGTAATAGATAGAAAAGTAGCACTAATATTTGTGATGACCAAAGGCCTCGAAAATAATCCTGTTACATATATTCAGGAGGGAAGAACCTTAGTTTAGTAGTATAGAAACGGAAAAACTGGAAGAACTCTGCCTCAGATTCTGAAGCAGTGCTGTTGCTAACTGGAGGAAAGACAAAAGCGGACTAGGAGGTCAAATAATCAGACCTGACAGCTTCTTTGGATCTTTGAAATGTACAGATTTGTCTGTTAACATCACATGATAAAATGGGTTATATATTTGTATATCTAGATGTTGATTTTAGTATATTTTTGAGATTATTGTGAAGCTGCAAGATACCTTCTAGTGTAGTGTAGAAAAGGAGTTCATTGGCCAAAATTCTATTGCCAGCATGGTGTAAATGGCATAATTTTTGGCAGTATATTCCTGCAAAGTACAAATTCTGTTTAGACATTATTCTTTGTTCTCTGATTTGCACAGCTTGGTATACAAAAGACAATATATACACAGATTTCATAACTTGATGATGCACTAAAAGTTATGTCACTTATGCTATACCTACAATAGGATCTCGGTCATCATTAGAAGGAAATGCATGCTTATTTTTATTCTATTTCATTCTTTTTTTAAAGTAACAAACCAGTCCCAGATAAAAAGCATGTGCTGGCTGAAATTCTTCTGTGCAGTTACATATATGGCAGAACTTTTAGAGATCAGTTGCCGTAAGTTAAAAAATCTGCAGTTGCATTATACAGTATGTTGCATGCCAAGTCTCATGACTCAGTAGGCAACTGATAATGTCTATGGAGATTTCTTAGCTTATGGCAGCTCGCTCCCAACAGTTAGGCATTTTGCTTAACTGCACAACAAAATTTCAGCCATTGGCTGATTTCTAATGTACACCATTGTCTATTCATAAAACTTAATAATCTGTTGTTTAAAATTTGCTACCCTTTAATCCTTCCTGAGTGCAATTTTCCATGGAGACTGTTGCACATCGGTTTACGGGGTATTCATTACACCCAGTCTTCTTTCTTTTTCCATAACGTTTCAGGGCTTATAATGTCTTGACTTAATGACTGTAGTTCAACATTTTGAAAATCTATTTTATGTCTGTTATAACCTTTGCCCACTTGTGCCTTTAGGACAGTAATGATGACACAGAAGATGTATCACTCTTTGATGCTGATGATGAAATGTCCAGGAGGCCCAAGAAATCAAAGATCAAGTAAGTGATCACTCCAGGAGTTAATAGTATTAAGCTGCCATTCATCTCTGCAATAAAACAATCTCTTATGGCTTGCACTTTGTTTTTGCCTCTTGTGGAAGTAGTTTTGGGTAAAATGCAAACTGTCATTGATCATCTTTTAAACTGGCTGTCTTAGATTTGAGTCTGTGTCTAGTTTTATTAGGCATTGTATTTGTGTACTGTATAGACTGACATAAGTCATCTTATTGTAAGGATTACATGGGGAAAATTAATATAATATAAGAAATATTCTTTTTTAGTGTGGTGAGGAAATGCACTAGAAGGAAGTCCAATAAAGATAGATGGAGCTTCTGTTTTTGTAACAGTGGAAAGTAGCCAAAGACCTTTGAAGTCTCAGTGCAGAATATTTATCATAGCATTGCTGTCACAACTAGAGTAGACCCACTGAGTTAATGAAACTTATGGAGGAGTTGGCTCACCAAATCCCCTTTGATTCAGTGAGTCTAGTTTTGTGCAATTTATTATGCTAAGCCCCAGGATTTCAACTACGTACTGTGTGACACTATGTGCATTAATGTTATTTTGGCTTGGGAGCAGTAAACTGAATATGGAGTATTTACAGATTCAAAGCAAAGCATTCCACTTATATACTACACCATAGAACTTAAAGCAGTATCTGGCAGTTTATAGTGTTTTAGGTATGCAGGCTACAAAATCCACCCCCCCCCCCAGCAACCTGGCTACTCAATTTACTGGTCTTGGATGAATGGCAGGTTGAAGCAACCTTGAACTGGCTACCTGAATCCATTGGGACTGAACATAGTTTGTTAGCAGAGTTTTGCCTGCAATACTGCAGTTTAACCACAGTGCCACAAGGCTAGAGTGTATGAATGAGATTGTAAGCCACTACCATGGAATTCCCTTGTTTAGGGTGAGCAGGCTACTCAATTTACTGGTCTTGGATGAATGGAAGGTTGAAGCAACCTTGAACTGGCTACCTGAATCCATTGGGACTGAACATAGTTTGTTAGCAGAGTTTTGCCTGCAATACTGCAGTTTAACCACAGTGCCACAAGGCTAGAGTGTATGAATGAGATTGTAAGCCACTACCATGGAATTCCCTTGTTTAGGGTGAGCAGAGAAAAGCTGATGCTGTGATATGTATAGCTCAGAAATAGTAATGCCATTAATCTTGTCTGAAAGTGATTGTTAAACATCTGGATGTGCCACCTGAATGTCTTAACTCTGCATTTTATTATATTGGAAAGGAAGAAACGTGTGTGACTAAATTGTGATATTCCTATGTATATACTCTCTATTAAGTGTGCAAGGTAATGTTGTCTTACAGTCTGAAAAATTGGCTTTTGCGTTTCATCACATTGATGCAACTGTAGTAGTGACAGTGACAATAGTTACAGCATTGCTGTATTTGTTGAATACTATGGTGTGGCTGTTTTTGAAAACTGCTGAAATATGAACAAGATGAGCTTTTAAATCAATAACTAAATTATTATCTCCATGTGTCTTTCGCAGACATCCAATAGCTTCCTTTTTCCACTTGTTCTTCCGTGTCAGTGCAATAATCGTCTACTTGCTCTCTGAACTGTTCAACAGCTATATTGCCTGTATGGTGACGGTCATCCTGCTTCTGTCATGTGACTTCTGGGCAGTAAAGGTAAACAGTTGAGTTGGAGTTCATTTCCACTTTAGCATTCTGTCTACCAAAGAAAGGTGCAGCCAGGCCAGTTTCACGAATAGGTTCATAACACTTTTCTAAGTTCTTTAAGTTCAAAGAGAAATGTCAGGGTGATAAAAGTCCTTTGGTTTCTTTGTTTTCCATGACAAGGATCAACACAGACACTGTGTAGTTCTGTCAGTGCTATAATTTGTCCTGACATGTTTTGGCACCAAACCACATTGTCCGCCTATCCTGTTGAGCACAAAATTGCTCCAGGTAAAGGAAGTTTGAGTTTGTGTTGAGTTTTGCTGCCTAAAGATTCCTAAGGAATAAATTTGGCTCCTGTTCTAAACACATGAAAATACTACCTGCTGTGTTTCTGTTCCACATTTATTAGGTAGCACCATATTATCCCAGAGTTATTCACTCAGGAAGACGTTTTTAAAACTACTTTTGATAACTTTAAAATGACCATTGTGAAAACAAAATACAGTACTCTAATTCTGAATTAAACTGGTGCTGGACAGTGCGGTGGAATTTCTGAACAAGTAACTCAGAGGTTCGCATTACAAGCTGAGCAGCTGATACAAGGACATTTGGAGGCAGACTAAGAGCTGTCTTAGGTCACATCACTGAACATCAACAAATAAATGGGATCCTTGTTTTTCCTGTGATTTGTACATAAAACAGAAATGGGGGCATTCTTAGGATTTCTCTCGATCAAGCTATGTGAATGCTTTTGTGGCAGTGCACTTTCATGTTGTATTTAACTCTTCCTAGAATGTCACAGGCAGGCTGATGGTTGGCCTTCGTTGGTGGAACCAGGTTGATGATGATGGCAAAAGCCACTGGGTGTTTGAAGCCAGGAAGGTAAATATCTCCCTCTTGTTAAGGCACCTGTCATTTATATGGTTAGATTGTTTATGATTTTATTATATTAACTATTTGATTGTATATTTTATGTGAACTGCCCAGAGTAGTGCTGCGGTACTAATGGGTGCAATATATTAAAAATGAATGAATGAATGAGATTCTTTGGAAGACTCAAGCTGGCTATAACCAGCTCAACTATTATTTGATTTCTCATGTCTGAAATCTAGCTTTCTCCACTCTCTACTTTACTGGCCATGCTACAAAGGTACATGTTATTTTGTAGTGAAATGCATGACATTACATTATTGAACTTTGATGCAGTAAACCAGAATATTGTTAAAGGTGTTAAGATCAAGCTGTATTTAAGCAAGCAAAGATTCTTTAAAGCTCTAGTTGTAGGCTTTGTTCTCTATTGGTGAGCATTTTTAAGCTTCTGATTTAGTCAAGCTGTTGACTGACAAATGAAATAAGTTTCTCAGATTAAATGCTTACTGTGTGCAGACGGATCCCATAGATAAATGTGCATGTACCTTTTTTTCAGTGAGGAAATAGCTAAAAAAATAAGTAGGCAGTATTCTTACACTGGGGCCATGAATTACCAGTGCAATTAGTCCTGCTGATTCTGGGAGACTGTATTACAACTCGTGTGACTATTTTAAATTTGAAAAATTGCAGTAACTCTATTTCTGTCTCTTATTTGGAAGTGCCACTGGTATGCACGACAAATGATAGTGGTTTGCTTAACCCGAACTATATTAGAAGTGTTAAAATATAAATTGTGTAAAAATACAAATACAGCACAAAGTTCAGCAGCCTTGTTTTCATTTAAGCAACACTCCTCTGCATCCTTAGGCATCTGCTCAGGGAAAGAAGGCCACATCAGAAGCAGAATCCATGATCTTCTGGTTAGGATTGATCACTTGTCCATTGCTTTGGGTGATTTTTGCCTTCAGTGCCCTATTTTCCTTCAGAGTTAAGTGGCTGGTAAGTAGACTGCTTGGTAAATGCCTGGCTGACTTTGTTGGTTTGGACTAGAGATGGGGGCATTCTTATTCGTATATCCCCGCACAGGTGGCGTTAACAAGGGTCAAGCCCCATGGGGCCAGACGGTCCACTCACTGATCCGCCACTGATGCAGACGGCATGATTCTGCAACTGGCTCCACAGTGTGCGATCCACTTGCCACTCCTGGCAGGAGGACAAGCCTCACTTCAAGGTCAAAGAGTGGCGAGCAGATTGAACACTGTGGAGCCATTCGTATAATCACGCTATCTGTGTCCGTGGTGGATTGGTGAGCGGACAGTCTGACCCCATGGGGCTGGACCCTTGTTAATGCCGCCTATACCGGCATATTTGTATACAAATACCCCCCATCTCTACTTTGGACACACAATATAGTAAGATCCTGGTTCCATCACGTGGTGCTATTTTCCTTTGCAGGCAGTGGTGATTATGGGGATGGCATTGCAAGGAGCAAACCTTTATGGGTATATCCGATGCAAAGTGGGCAGCAGGAAGAATCTGACCAGTGTGGCAACATCATACTTAGGCAGGCAGCTACTGCGGCAGGTAATTCACGTTTTGTTTTTACAAACATTTTCCTTTGAATGTTTTGGTACATATCATCTGACTTTACATTCTTTAAATTTTCTGATGCAATGCACCAGTTCCACTGCAGCTGGGATGAGTTCTTGTTCTGGGCCCTGAATGTGTATTATTGCACATCTCTTCTTATGCCTGCTTGCCCTGCTAAGAAAGTATAGCAGAAGAACTTCTGATACATCTGCTTCTGTAATTTGCCAAGCAAGTGTCCCTCTCCTGAGAAAATGTACTATTTCAGAAAGACAGTTCTATGTATGCATCTCCCCTTGTCCAGATATACCTTCAGAAGAAGCCCACTCTTAGAAAATCTGCTACTAGCAGGATGCTGGGTTGTTGTTTCATACTAGACTGTGCCATGAAGATAATCAGTAGTTGGGGCTTCTCTTAGCTTATGCATGTCTTGCTTGTCAAAATCACAAGCTTTGCACAGGATTTGTTTATGCTATCCCAGGTCAGTCAGCCATCTGTGTTCAATGCTGTCTCCTTCACACTTCCTGTGTTCTGTTCCTTTTGTATTAACCTTCCCAGCTCCCTCACTACTCCCACATAGTGCTATAGACTCTTATCTATATTTTGATTTTAGAGTATATTTTGTACTTGTTATTGATAGGCATCCAGAGTTGTGAATGTCTGGAGAAGAAAGGATAGTCTAATTGATAGAAAGCTCAGCATGAAGCTCCCAGAGTCACCCGGGGATCGTCACTACTTCTCAGCCTAACCGTTCTCTTACCTCTCTTACCTTTCTCCCAGGATGTTTGATATAGATATTGTATTCCCTATATATGCCATCCTGAGTTCTTTGGAGCAAAACCTACTGATATGATGATAATCAGCTTCCTTTAATTTACAGCACAGCCATCTGTTTTTCCCTTGTCAAACTTTTCATCCCAAATTGCTCCTGCATAGGTGTTGTTTTTCAGGCTGTTTGGCCGTGTTCTTAAAGATTTTCTTTCTAACATTTCACCAGTGGCCAGCATCTTCAGAGGACAGGAATCAGAACTTTGTCTGTGCTCTGGTGCAGTTTGTGGGATAGTTGAGTATTTATAACTGTGGGATCAGCTTTTTGTCCTTTTCAGGAGATTGGGTATTATGGTGATCAGTGTATTTTTTGTTGTGGGTGTATTGTTGTGATCAAGGGGAGAGATGCTCTGTGTGATTGATGGGTGTCGTTAGTTGGTCTTTTGCATGCAGTGATCCTTGTGGCTGGGTAGAGATCGTTGACCTTTTGCAGGCTGTATTTTTCAGTGCTGGGAGCCAGGCTTTGTTGAGTTTTAGACTTTTTTGTTGAAGCTCTGCTGATGTTTGTGGATTTCAATGGCTTCCCTATGCAGTCTAACGTAATGATTGCTGGTGTTGTCCAGTACTTCGGTATTTTGAAATAGAATTTCATGTCCAGCTTCTTTTAGGGCATGTTCAGCTACTGCTGATTTTTCCGGTTGTTTTAGTCTGCAGTGTCTCTCATGTTCTTTGATTTACCATTTGTTGTATTTTTGTGGTGGGACTGAATACTGTTTGTAGGTTGTCTTTTTTCAAAAGTTACCCAATGCGGTCTGTGACCCCTTTGATGTATGGCAGAAATAACTTTATTAGTGGGTGGTTGTTTTTCCTCTTCAGTTTGGTGTTGTTTTCTTGGTTTGATGGCTGTTGTGATTTCATTTTTGGAGTAGCCATTCGCCTGTAGAGCCCAATTCAAATGGTTGAGTTTGGTACTGAGAAATTGAGCTTCACTGTTCTGATTTGCATGGTCTATCAGTGTTTTGATTATGCCTCTTTTTTGTTGTGGTTGGTGCTTGGAGTTTTTGTGTAGTTACCGGTCTGTGTGGGTGGGTTTTCTGTACACCTTGTGTCCAAATTGGAGGTCAGTTTTGCATATGACCATGACATCTAAAAAAGGGAGTTGGTCCTCTGTTTCTTTTTCAGTTGTGAACTGTATATTTGGGTGGCTGCTGCTGAGATGGTTTCAAAATTCTTCCAGTTTTCTTCACCGTGATTCCAAATTGTGTCATCCAAATATCGGAACCAGACTGTGGGTGTGAAGGGTGCCAAACCAGGGCCTGTTTTTCGCAATGTTCCATGTAGAAGTTTGCTATAACTGGGCTGAGGGGGTGTTTGGCAGTGTTCTTAACATTTTCTGAAAATGCCGGCCACAGAGACTGGCAAAATGTTAGGAAAAAAAATCTTAAGAACACGGCGAAACAGCCAAAAAACCTACAACAGCCATCGGGTTCTGGCCATGAAAGCCTTCAAGAATACACTGAATGCTTCTACGGGGAGGAAACGGTCAGACAGACCCGGAGACTGGAAACACTCCAAAGCAAAAAAGCACACCTACTACGTTCTTTAAAATTTCTACTAAGCTGCAGAGACACAGAAACCATACCAACCTTCCTCAGGAAAAAAAGGACCTTTGTTTCAGATTCTGATACTGGGCTGCATCAGAAGCATCAGCATAAACCTTTGCTTAATCTGATCTGAGCAGGATAACCTCCTTGTCTCTCCTTATCCCACCTGAATCCAATTCCTAGTCTCAAACCAGCCCCGTTGAATCAATTGCAGTAAGTCAACATTTATATCATCCCAGTGCTGCACTGGGTCTATTCTAGCCATCAGATTTAGGCCAGCATGTTTAATTCAAGGAGCATCTCTGGGCCCTGAGTTGCTGTGCGTTATCTAAAACTCTCATTTTCAGCTTTTGTTGTTGTTGCTGGTACTGTAACAAAATAATACAGTGAATACTTTTTAGAGGTGGGAACAGTTCAACTTCTGAGTGATTCCCCCCCCTTTTGCATAGAGATGGCTTAATCCTGATCAAATGCTTCTTCCTTTTCTTTCAAGACTGTGTCCAAAGAAGACCAAGCAGTATCTTGAAGACTATGAAGAATTCCTGGTTTCCGTTTTGGTTCCTTCTGGAGAATGAAAGGACTGTTTCCTTATACAGAAGATATATAAGATGTGTATGGATTTTTGTAATTAAATATACCTTATAGAAACGCTAGTTACCTCTCGTTTGTTATAACATATTTGCAGGATCCTTTCTGGCACTTAATTAGTGCTGGACTCTTTAAAATCATTTCATTTATATGTAAGGAAAATATTTTAATGGCAGACAGTGGCTGTTTATAACACTATAGTCGTTAAGCAACAGGGTGTGCCAGTGAGCTTTGCTGTAAAATATTGGCTAGCCTTAAAAGCTGCTCATCTGACTAGCCCATGATTCTGTGATGAGTTAGTTGTGTAGCTGGAGAAATCTCCCGAGCTTACATGGAAATTATCTTTTCTAAATTTTGTCTTCTATCTGATCAGCCGTGACAACAGACAGGTAGAGGAGTACATCTGCATTCAAAGAAGATTGTATAGGATACAAAATTCGCATGGTCATTCTGATTTGCTGAGTAGGAAAAGAAAATAAGTAAAGCACACTCTAGGCAATCTTCTGTAGAAAGTAAAGAGCAGTAATGGTGGTTTGATTGTGATTTCTGCAAACCAATGTAATAGTCTTCTCTTTGGTAAAGCACAGTTGCAGACAAAAGTTAAGAACCCTTCTTCCTGTAATAAGAGGGAAATAATGGTTTGTTTTAAGGGAATTGATAAAACTGTAGCATAGCATTGCATGAAGAACCCTGAGCTTGGATTCTTCCTCCCCACTTTTTCATTGATACAGCTGGGAGGTAGAGTTTACAAGCCTTAGCTTCCATTTTTAACTAACCATCATTTAGTGTTATGCTGGTCCATCTTTGGTCAGTCTGAATTATGGTTTACTGAAACAGGCAAATTTCCAAGTGGTGCTTTATGAAATTAGGTTGTTTCAGTAAACTTCAAATGGTGGTCTGTGCATTTATTTATTTTTAATTTATATGCCACATTTGTTCCTACAGGGGACCCAAGGTGGCTCACAAACAATTGAGCTCCTGGTTTATGAAATCGGGTTGTTTCAGTAAATTTGGATTAACCACAGTTTAAGTTCAGACATAGTGAGAAATTGTGTTTAATTGCAAATAGAAGCAGGAACTTCTGATCACACAGCTGCACAAGAAGAGAGAGAGGAATGCACAAATCTAAGGCTAATTGACATAATTCTCAATCATAGCTTGACTATATTTGGGTGTAGCTTACATAAATTGCAGTTCAGGAGAAAGTTTGGGGCCTAAATGTGTATGTGTATTAATATATTAAGTGATTGGGTCTTCCTGGTGTACAGTCATGTATGTTGTCTGGAATTTCCTATTACTTTTTCCACCTCACAGAGAATGCATTCCATGTTGCTGAGTATGACTGACCACATGGAGGCCCAATTTCATATAAAATATTCTGTAGACAGGAAAAAGAGGCTTTCTTTTGCCCCTTGTCTTGGGCATATGCCTGAGTCACATGAGCCTGATCCTAAGCGGATAGCATTATCAGTACTGAAACCATTTATAAAAGATATCCCTCAAATGGATGGGAAATCTTTCCACATGAGTGACAATTTGTACAGTTAGTTTGGGCCATGGAAATAGATCCATCCTGCTCTGAACAAGTGATGTGCATTATAACCATAAATTCAGTTCAGATTAGTTTGGATTGCCAGTGTGGTGTCCCATAGCAAAGCCCCTTTTAAAAAGCTGTGTTTTCTTTTGGTTTCTCTGCCACAGACTGAAGTGAATCCTGTGAACAAGCCCTAGCATGTTCATAGCATGGCAGGGTGGGCTGCTTGTCAGCCTAGAAATCTGATTATGCTTGGTGGATGTACCTCTAATTAAACTCTGGCTGGGATCCTCGTGAAGTTCTGAGCAGAAAGTTCCACCAGTGTAGTTGTGGGGATTATACGGCTTGCAGAGGCATTGCCGTTTCACAGGGAGGAGGCTGATTTTATTTGACGAGGCCATCAGTTGTGCAACATCTACACTTGTGCAAGCAGCACAATCCTGTGTCATTACACTAGCTGAACCTCAGTAGGATACTAGGCTTTTTTTTCTAATATTAGTTGTGGATTTCTCTCCATCTTTAAATGGGAATTACATTTCATCACCTATTAAAAAAGAGTTGGCAAGGTGTGACTAATAAAGAAACAGTAGCTAAAATTCTATTGCTTAACCTAAACAAAGTCCTACATTTCTCATCAGTAAATAAAGGCCCCCCACTGCACTTCTTGGGGACTCGATGCAGCAGGAATTCTTTATTTTCTGATGAGGAATAGACTGAGATGTACAACTTTGCCTAGATTATACAACAAGATTTTTACCGTCAAGTCTAATGAAGTGTGAATATCATGTTGTCTAAAGGTAAAGGTAGCTTCATGTTTGTGGTCATGAGGAGAATCTGAATTAATATGATTGTTTCAAGGAGTGTTGAAACTTAAAGTTTGTGTTTTGGTATTCGAGAAATGTGGGTTTTCCTTCTGGGGATAGTAAAGCAATGTATTTAAAATCTCTGACCTCTGTTGTGCATGTTTGTGAAATCTTTCAAATTGACATGTTTTCAAAGAAATGAACATGTTTTTTCAAACAAATATATATATTTTTAAAGTTGTGTCATTTGTTTCAGTATGTTGCCACCATTTGTCTGCAGGGATGTGTAACATCTCTTGTTCTCATTTAACAAGTGGATGTTTTTAACCTGTCGTCCTGTTAGACCTCTTTCTTTGTATGTATTGCTTGTCATTTATATGTTCTCTTAGTTCCCATTTTTCACAGGCTGTCATTTTTATTTGTTGAAGAACAGATTCCACATCCTGACACTATCCTGTTGTTCTTAAATGCAGTCGTAACAACATTATCCCAGTTTCAGTTGTTATTCAAGAATGTGGAAAGAACACATGAGGAGGGAGACCATGTGAGCTGCGCCCTCTCTGTCTCCACTTCAATCCTTTTCCTATGCAGGCAAGATGACCATCTGAAGAAAAGAGCCTCCTTTAGCCATTGAAGGCTCTTCCTGTGTGCTGGAAACCTGATTCTCCATTGGGAGCCTGCCAGCAAGGAACCATAGGAAATAGTGCCATTCTAGTTGTGTTTCCTGGTAACGTACACAAAGGCATACTTCCTCCAATACTGGTATATATAAGGTAAAGGTTCCCCTTGACATTTAGTCTAATCGTGTCCAACTCTAGGGCACGGTGCTCATCCCCATTTCCAAGTTATGGAGCCAGCGTTTGTCGGAAAACAGTTTCCGTGGACACGTGACCAGTGTGACTAGACACGGAATGCTGTTACCTTCCCACTGTGGTGGTACCTATTTATCTACTCGCATTTACATGCTTTACATGCTAGGTTGGCAGGAGCTGGGACAAGCGACAGGAGCTCACTCCGTTGTGTGGATTCGATCTTATGTCGGCTGGTCTTCTGACCTTGCAGTACAGAGGCTTCTGCGGTTTATCCCACAAGTGCCACCATGTCCCATATTGGTATATATATTGAAACACCATTGTGTTTCATTGGACAGCCTTAATTCTAATATGATTTTAAAAGCCTGATCATTTTGTTCACACCATTTGTAATTTTATAAGCCTAGATCATGTCGCTCATTGCCTTATTTCTAAGTTTATAACCTTTCCTTACAGAGAGCTGCTCTGGTCCTTTTGACATCCAGGTTGTCTTTTTCTGCAGCTTTTCTTACTCAGTCATGCTAGGTGCAGATTGCAAATATGGATGCATCATAGATTTGTTTAGATATTGGCAGTCTTGCTTTCTTGTTGATCCTAAAGATGCAAGTTGGCTTTTCATGGCAGCTACATATTGAATCGTCATTGTCCTTGAGCTGTCTAGCCCCATGACTACAAGGTCCTTTTTTGGATCTGTCACTACCAGTTCAGGTCCATCCGCACATAGTGAATTTAGTTATTTATTTATTTTTGCCACTTTATTCATCACTTCACACATGGTGTAAACTGATCTATGCTTCCCATTTTGATGCCCATCCCCAAATTCAGAGAGAATGTTTTGAAGCTCTTCACTATTTTTCCTTGTTTTAGCACCCTAAATAATTTAGTATTATCCTTAATTTGGCCACCTCACTACTTACCCCAACTCCAGAAAATTCATGAATAAATAAGAAAACACTGGCTCTAATTTATGCCTTTGGGAGGCCCCAAGGTTTATATCCTTCCACTGTGAAATGTAGTGGAGATGTGTAAGCTTTTGGTGTTTGGACAGGTTAAATCCATCTGGCATACCACTTGCTTTGTATGAACTTTGATTAAGAGGTGGTGCTATCATCTCAGACCAATACTGTTACAGTCCATTCACAATTTCCATATTTCTCTCTTTTTTAATCTTCCATTTTGGGGGATGAACCCTTCAGTTCTTCATATATGCAATAAATGGATGAATTGCTGGAAGCTCAGTGGTTTAGATATCTGGTTGTGGAGCCAGAGGGTGGGAGTTGGGGCTGGATTTGATGATCTATAGGGTCCCTTCTAGAACTGCAGTTCTAAGATGTTGATGCTGCATAACTGGGCAAAGGGACACCTTGCCCCAGATTGAATGGAACTCCCCTGCCACATTCATGAACCAGCCATGAAATGAAGGTAATGGTGAATTCAGCCCCAAGATAATTACTCTTCCACGTTTTTCTTTTCCGTACTGCTTTTAATATTTTAATATTCTTCAGTGGCTACTTTTGACTGAATTGCTTTGGTTTCCATCTGGATAGGTTTGTACCCACAACTCAGAAAATGAAATCTGTAATCTTAACTATGAACAGGTTGGGGAGACTTATAACTTTATCTTATTGTGAAAATCAAAATAATGTGCTAGCTAGTTGATGCTCTAGAGAATGGTTGTCTGGCTCTAGATTAGAAGCTCTTGACTTAACTCATTTATTTGGTGAGCAGACTGCATTCTAATACTATCCATTAACAACTCTAATATTGGTGTATTAAAAAAGAATGTATGTACGTACATTTGTGTACAATTGTGTTGCCACAATAACCTCCCAGGCAGCTTTATTCAATAGTCCACTGGATGGCACTGTTCCATTAGGAGTACAATCTAGTCTAGTCCTGGAATGCTGTTTTCTGAAGATTTTTAAATTGTGTTTGATTTTTAAAAAACAAATCTGGTTTAATTTCTAATCCTAGTTGAAATCAAAATATAAAAATAATAAAAACTGGAGGTTAAAAAAGTGTTAAAAGTAGGCCAAATGCAATGAGACCACAAATAGGTGGTCTCACTATTCCAAGATGCTCAGGATACTCTGCTCTCCTCAACCCACTATTGTGCCCGTATTGTGAGGATAAAAGGACAGAGAACTAGGCTGCCCTGTCATTGTGTCCATAGTTGCTGTGGCCCATTTGTTAGTCATCAGTCAGGTTGATACAGATCACACCAATTTTCTCTAATATCTCACTGTAGAAGTAAGAGTATAAAATATAATAGATAGTCTTTGAACTTCAGAGGTGGAAGTGACCCTATGGATCACTGTCTTTGAACTGCAGAGGTGGAAGTGATCCTATGGATCACTTTGCCCCCAGCCCCTGTGAAGGAGGCACAGTGAGGGATTGAACTCCCAACCATTTGCTTGGCACCTAAATAAGCTCTCTAGCTGTTCATAGGCTTCAAAGATCATTCTCCACTACTGAGCTGGGGTTGCATTCTGCACTTCCTTCTTTTCAATGATAAATGATGTCTTGCCACATGACTGTTTCTTGATAAGTTGGCAGTTTCAGCCTTACACTTCTTTTCAGTGATAAATGATGTCTTGCCACATGACAGTTTCTTGATAAGTTGGCAGTTTCAGCCTTTATTGGTGTACACTTCCCATCTGCAGCCCTGTCTCCTCCTACTGCAGTTCCTCACACCTTTCACTAAGTGTGAGCTGCTGTCTTCCCCCCCTTTCCTTCTTTCCCTTTCTCTCTCTCTCTCTTTTTAAATATTACAGAATATATAAATGTTTCAACAAGTGATATAGTCCTTAATATCCTGGCCTGTTATTATTTTTTTTTCCAGGATGCTCCAGAAGGAGGGAATGGTAAACCACTTCTTACTCTTTATCTGGGAAACCCTGAAAAAGAGTCTTTATAAGCCAGAATTGATTTGACAGCACACAATTATTACTTTTTCCAAGGTTTATTGTTCTAATTAGGAATCAAATGAAGCTGTAAACCCCTCCCATGGTGTATACATTTAGTTTAGTTTTATAGTAGTTAAACTCTTTAAAAAAAACCTTGACTTCTCTATTAATAATCTTGGCAATTGCAATTTCCTGAGGGTGCTCCACTGGGTGGAAGAAGAGAGGCTTTTGATGCAACTGGCCACAAGTAGAATTGCCAGCACCTCCAGGTAAGTCTAGGAAAATCTTGTCTGAAATACTTGAGTGTCTCTGCTAGACAGTGTAAACTACAAATGGGCAAAAGATGGTCTACTAGCAGCTTGGGACCTCTAGAGATCCCTGATTCACCTCTCAACTTTTTCATGAACTCATAAGATCATCTTGGCCCGCTTTCTGCAGTAGGGATACCCTTGGCAAGATAATATTGGGCATCATTTTATTTATTATACAGGGTGGTCATAAATGTTGCTAAGATGAAATGAATAAGTGCCATTGAATGTTCAGAAAATACTGTCCATCAGTGCCAGGATGTGTATTAGAGGTTTGGAAGCTTTAAGTTCACTAAAGATCACAATGCTCAGGTCAAACTGTTGACAAGTCAGTATACTTCCCAGAGTGCAGAAGTAGCTAGCAGGAAATAAAGTTATTTGTACATATATTTATTTTCTGAAACAAAGGTACAATGGCATTCCAGTATGACTGTGACTTGAAGAACAACCTCACTCTTTTTATGATGTAACTCTATGTAACTTTAAAGTTACTTTTATAGCCACTTAAAATATGACCTCACCAAATGGTGGAGAAGGAAGATTGCATGGTTGGTGTTTAGGCTCCTGCTGCCTCTTGTGCTGTTTTGAGGTGGCAGCAAGATGGAAAGTGAGTGTGTGTGTTTTGTACTATAGGCCAAGAGCATTCATGTTAAAAAAGCGAACAAAAAGTAAGTAACCAATTTACTTATTTTTTGGAAGTGGGAAATAAATTGTTTTGTAACTGTAAATTAGTTAAACAGAGCGATTACTGCAATTAATTACTTCCAAGAATTAATGTTCCAAGTTCTGGCTCTTACAAATTAGGACTTCCACAGTGTTTCTAGCATCTATATGCTGTTAAATTCACAGATTTGTGTAATAGGAAGCTTCTTGATACAAGTAAAATGTCCACTGTTGTTATGGTAAATGATGTATGACTGGAGAGAGAAGAAAAGTTTCTCTGTTGCTCCCAGAGCTAGTTTTTGAGGTCTCACAAATTTGGCCTGTTTTGATAGCCAGTGAAATCTTGCCATTGTCAAAAGCCTGCTGGGTGTGGAGCAGTTTGTTGTTCTGCTGGCTTTCTTTGTATCTCTTTCTTGAAAATGGCTAGTAATTCTTCGAGGGGCAATTAATTTCCTCAGGAGTAGAGTGAAAAGTATTAACAGAGTAAAATGAATAAAGCCAAATAAATATAGCACACGTTGTAGCTTTTTATAACTTTGTTATGCATTCAGG